CAATTGGTATTGATTCAGAATATGGAGTGAAATGGCTTTAGTCACCATGATGGAAACAGGTGGGGAAATGTAGACCATCTACTTCTCTATGTTTCTCAATAGATTTCAGTAACATTGACTCAATGAATATTTATGGCTTGTCTTGAAAAGGCTTGGGGGCACTGTTTTGCTGTGGTGCAGGTCCTCCCTATCAGGTTGTGTCCAGAAGAGGGTGCTAAGGGACCATTGTTAGACAACTAGGTCACAGATTTCTTATGTCCCTCAGGTTATATATCTTGTCTCCTATATTTTTGAACTTGTATGCAACCATTGGGAATAGTCATGCGGAGTTTTGGAGTTGTGCCATGTCTGCTGATAACATTTTCTGTTGCTCCTTGCCTTATCATTGTAATGAAACAATATCATTGTAATGAAACTCTTGATATACTGCTTAAACTTGATATTGAGCTGAATGACAGATAATATACTGAAATTAAATCCAGACACAATGGATATTTGTAAGAAAAAAGAAAACTAGATTCTCGATTAAGCTGAAACTTGCTCAGAATGGGGCTGTACTCCCCACAAAGCAACAGGTTTGTACTTTGGAAGTGGTCTTGGAGCCCCATTTGTCATTGGGTTGAAAAAGGCATGTTTTTTACAACTATAGCTAATGTGTTAGCTGCTTTTCCTCCTGAGTTTGCTGGATTTAGCAAAAATTATCCATACCTATGTTGCAACCCACTTTGATTACTGCTGTGTTCTATAAAAACTGCAAATTATTGCAAGATGCAATGGCTAGCTATTGCCTGGTGTAAAATACAGGGATTATATAATCCAATACTGAAATATCTGCATTGGCTTCCAAGTCAAGGTATTGATCTAAAAAGCTGTAAATACACATTTTCTCAGAATGGAGATACTTTGGCTACTTAGATGAACAGGAAATACCCATCTGAAGATATTCTTGCTACTAGACCTTTTAACAACTTCATTTAATCCTCAACATATGACTATAATGGAACCTGCCTACTATGTTTTATGTCATGATGGTCATAAAAATGGGTCAATTATGTGACTAATCCAATTTGATGACATTTTTTGAGGTCATCAATAAGTAAATGCAGCAGTCATTTAGTGAACCAAAGGTTCACTATGGGTGTGACTTTGCCTGAAATGGAAAACCACTGTAAAATGCAGTCACGTGATCATGGGACACTGCAAATGGCAGTAAACCCAGCTGACTGCCAAGTTCCCAAAGTTCTGTCATGTGACTGTGGAGGACGCCCGACTGTCGGAATGTATTATAGTATCACACAGATCACAACCTCCCTCTACACTATTTATAAAACTCTTACCAAAAAAAAACAGCTCTACAGTGTTCTCTGCAATTTAAGCCACCCCAGGTAACAATAGTACAATGAAAGATTTTGATCTTCCCTTTACCATTTTTGAAGAAAGAGACAAGTTTTGTCCTTTTCGCTGTTTGCCACTGTTTGGCTCTCCAAAATTTATCAAAAAGAATATAGAAAGTTGGATAGTTCATTAGCAACTATCTTCAGAACAAGAGATTTAAACTTCAGCCAAGTAAGCATTCCCTGATCATGTTTCTATTAGTCTAAACTTTAATCCTACACCTTCATCCTAATTTTTAAGCAGCTGCCTGATAAAATGTATATCCTCTTCCCAAAGAGGATGGAATTAAAAATAGTAGTTTAAATATCCCACGTGATATCTTCACTGAGTAGCTGCCATTTGGCTTCTTTCTCTCGTCTTTTATTTTGAACATATCCAAAGCAGCTCTTTTCGCTCTTTGTCAATCTCAGTTTAACCTGAGTGTTAACCTTTCTTGAATAATTTCCTGGCTACATGTATGTACTCCTTGGCAATCTGTTCATTTTTCAAAAACCGCTTCCCATTAAAAGAACTCTCTTAAAATAGTTTATAATTAAAGTTTACAATTGAAAGAATATACTGTAAAATGTATCTGTCCAATTTTATTATCTTTATTTTCATATCTTAGCTAATATTTTTGTAGCTATATTGCTGACTGATATTCTTCCCCCCCTTCAGAATAATTTGCTACTGTGCTTTCAGTATCTTTTACTTTAAGAACTCCCACCCATCTCGAGTCTTTTCCTATTGACATTTTCCTGGCATGGAGTACTTTTTAATCATGTTTTAAAGTTTATTAAAACAGGCTTCCTTGAAGTTCAGTGTATATAGTATATTTGACTACAGCCAGCCTCAGCTCTGATTACAATCAAGAATCCCAACATTACATGGTCTCTTTTCCTTACATCCACATTACTTTAACCAATATGTCTACCCGTAGATCCTAAGCCTACCTAAGGTCAATTCCAGGCTAGCTGGTTCATTTTCTCCCCCCTTAAAAATGATGCAATTGCATTGGGGGAAGGGGAAATGCTTACACTTTATTTCCCAACTGATGTTAGGGTAATTAAGATCTCCCAACTATTTCATCACTAGCTGAAAAATTTGCAATTTGCTACTGCCACATCTTTCTTATTGTTGGGTCACACATCAATGTAAAATTAAAGTGAACATTTTCAAATCCCTCTCATAATGACACTTGAGGGAAAAAATGTAAAAGCCCAAAGCTTACTGTCATAATTACAAACTAATTGCTATTACTTTAGTATGTTAATTTAGTTAACATATACAAAAAAGTCTTGACTTACATACAAAGATTTAATGCATGCTGCTGAATTTTACATTATTTGAATGTTTTTGATAATAATAATTGCTTTTGAGTAGAACGGCTGTGTTTGCAAATTGTGCTAAATGAAAAAGTCCAGCTGGAAATGAAAATTAATGAAGGAATAACTATCATAAAAATGGCAATTCTATTTTTTTTTTAGAATTTTCTTTTTGCAAAGAAAGCATATTCTATAAGGATTTTTAGATTTCATGATTTACAAGCTTCAAATATGTTTCCTTTATAAATGGCTTCAAAACAACTTTTCATTTTGTGTTTTAATGTTTGATTTTACTTCTTTTGCTTTTTTTTATAGTAGTTCTTTTAAATTATCAAATGATTAATACTGAGACTAACAACAGAAGCAAGGAATTGAAATTGTTGCCAGGCAGAATACAGGCAAATGGCTGGTCCCTACACAATTGAAAATCGAAAAGATATTCCTTAGGAAATTAATTTTTTGGTCCCTAAAAAATTTGATGCTGTCTCAGTTTCTTGAAGGACTAACCAGAAGCCATCTCTCCCAGAAACAGCTGTCTCCCAACCCTTTCATACAGGTTCAGAGCAAAATGAAGTCTTAGTTAGAAACCATTCAGGTGGTCCTCAAGTTAAGACAGTGATTACAACTGGGATTAAGCAATGTGGTTATAAAGTACGTCATGTAACTGCATTGTTTAGCGATGACAATCTAGGCAGTCTCGGTTGCCGTTGAATCCCCAAGATACACAAGTCATTAGGCAGGAAGCAGCAAGTGTCCCAAGTAAAAGGTGCATCCCTGGGAAGCTTGATGCCGGTGGTATGTAAATTGGCAGAGGGAGGTTCTGTGATGTGGCATGAATTTAGGGAGGCTGAGGAAAGGAAGGCACAGGTCCACACAAGCCTAGAGTCAGTCTGAGTCCTCCAAGTGCAGGGAGGCCCTGGGTTAGTGAAAGCAAAGAAAGATTGGGGGAGGATGTGGCACAGTGTGCAGGAAGAGGGAAGGGACTTACCATAGCAACTTGCGATCTTCCCTGCTGGCTTTCCCAATGATTTTGGTTCTGGAAAGCTGGCAAGGAAGATCACAAATGGCAATAACATGATTGTAAGACACTATAATAACTGTAACTTCAAGGATCAGTTGTAACTTTGAACAACTGTTGCACAGGTGTTTACTAAACAAGGACTACTTGTATTCACTAAGCAAAGAGCACTTCAAATTATGTTGTTGTGTGAAACTAAACCATGATTGGGTTAATGAGATGGAGTCATGTGTTACCTATACACAAATTAAAGAATGTGACATGCAAACCATGCTTAATAGAAATTTGATTAGTTTCAGAGCTTATGAGAAGGAATGAAACTGCATCAGTCTACTATGAATTATTAAACCAAGTTTTCAAACTTCAAAGCAGACCCCAATTTTGATAAGTAACTCAACAGAACCTGCATTAACAGATTCAACTTCATTTATTTCTAGTATTATTCCACAAAATAAACTACTATTCCATCACGATCCCCAGAGTATATAATTATAAAGTATGCACCTAGTTGTCTAAAGAGAAAATGTTTCTGTATATGAGCCTATCTATTTTACTTAATGGTGGAATAAATTGATCAGGCAGGTTTGTCTTTTAAAAATGGGGGTTATTTAGGAAAAAATGACATCAGATTTTACATGAAAGATTGTGCAATATAAAATTCAAGCAACTGCAGACTAATTTTAATTCAGAACTAACTAAAAAAATTAGGTTGCACACAAGTGTTCTCAGCCAGTCATTGAGTCCGGCTGGTGAAGTGGCAGGCTCAGAGGTGAACGACGCTGCACTCAGAGCCCGACAAGTGTTTTCTTTAGTTGTCTGTGAATAAAATTTGGATACTATTAGCTTATCCCAAGGCTAGAAAGATTAAACAAAAATAAAAGCAAAATTATAGAGCATATATAAATTGTTTTCAAAACAAACAAGGGCTTCCATCCAGATTGCCTTATTTTTCCCCTAATTGAAAGTTTGCTTTTATAGCACTGTCTTGCTTGCTGATTTGTGGACTTTGTTCTTTACTTAAAGTTGCCAGAATCTAGGCTCCATTCAATTAAGGGCGATTACAATTACTTTGGTTTTAAACACCACATCTTTTTTAATGTTCAAAATGAGAGACAGCAGAGTTTGTACTTTAATTAAAGGAGAATACATTTCAATACAATGTGAATCTAGTATGTCTCTAGAGTGGTTTCCAAAAATGACACAGTGTCTATATGCTGTAGATGCTGCACCTTTAAATAATTAAGTTAATGTAAAACAGCTGAGGGGAGGATTCATTTGCTTACTTGTATCCAGCTGTTGGCCTTCAATTCCAGAGGGTTCTGTGGTTCACCACTGTACAGACAACATAAGCAGCATATCAGAATCTTCTGGCATTCATCTGTGGATACCAATCCAAATAAGGATATTTTTTAAAAAAAAATCAAAGCAGGACAAGAAGAATATTTTGCTCATGTTAATAAACAAAAACAAAAAACCAAGGACATAGTAAATTTTTATGGTTATTTTTCTTCTATTCCATTTTTTCAAAGTCATTTCATTCATCACATATAGACTGTTTCATTCTTCCTTTTCTTAATATAAAACATATTTTAATGTATTTGGAGATGGGCTTAATTGATTGCCTTGCTGATTCAAGGTGAACCTAGTTAATTGTGACAAACTTAAATCCTATCTGTTTCAATCTAACATGTTCTGAATCAAGCCATCTTATTTTTTTGCAACTTATTGTCGTGATAAAACTATACTTAAAATGTATTTATATACATAGAACAGTTTTATAACATTAAATTCAAATTTTTGCATTGTTTTATTTTTCTAACATAAAAATTAATCCTGAATATTGTTTTCATAATTACTTCCTCTCACCACTACCGTCTGTTTTGTCACTCCCCCAATAGAGTGAAATTAAGAGCAGCCATTTTACTCGTCCATTTTCCCTGCTACCGATATCAGTGAAAGAAAAAACAATGTGACAAAAGAACTCAAAAGTTGATGTACTGAAACCTTTAATTACAATTGTTCTGTTAATAAAGAATTCCTCTCAATACTATGAGGCACATCCTGAAAAGCAAATGGCTTTGATATTTTTAGATGCTCAAAAGGCATTTGATAACGTGAATTGGAGATTTATGTTACTTTTAATGGAACAGATGGGCTTTGCTAGAAGATTTATTCAGGCAATAGAAGCAATTTATAATGAACAAACAGCTAAGGTAATGATGGAGGGAGAATTTACAGATCCTATTAATATAAGAAAAGGTACAAGACAAGGTTGTCCTCTTTCTCCCTTGATATTTGTATTGACTTTGGAAGTGTTGAATAGAAATATCAGAGAAGATAAAACTATAAAAGGAATGAAAATTAAAAAGGAAGAATTTAAACTACAAGCCTTTGCAGATGACCTAGTCTTTATCTTGGAAGACCCTATAGAAACAGCCTCGAAACTGTTGGAAAAGATAGAGGTCTATGGGGAGGTGGCTGGTTTGAAAATAAATAGAGATAAAACAAAGATTTTGTCAAAGAATATGTTGCTGAAACAAAGGGAAGAGTTGGCAGAACTGTTAAAAATTCAAGTTACAAACAAGGTTAAGTATCTGGGGATATATTTGACATCAAGATGTAGTACATTGAAGGAGAATAATTATATTAAACTTAAACAACAGATAGCTCAAGACTTGAAAAAATGGGAGAACTTACAATTGTCATTAATAGGAAGGATTTCAACAATTAAGATGAACATTTTACCCAGAGTCTTATTTTTGTTTCAAACAATACCAATTAGGCTTGGAAAAGAATATTTTGAGGATTTAAATAAAATTGTTTTGAAGTATATATGGCAAGGTAAGAAAGCAAGAATAAAGTTAAAGCTTTTACAGGATGTTAGATTTAGAGGAGGGTTTGGACTGCCTAATTGGGAGTTGTATTACCAAGCTGCAAACTTGACGTGGGTTAAAGAATGGATAACATTAAGGAAAACCAGATTGTTGACATTAGAAGGTCATGATTTGTTGTTGGGCTGGCATGCTTTTTTATGGTACAAGGGAACTAAAACACAGGGGTATTTTAGAAGGCATTATATACGGGAGTCTCTGTGGTTGAATTGGGAGAAGATAAAAAAACAGTGTTATTTGAAAATTCCAGTTTGGTTATCGACGATAGAAGCGTTTTCTTATCCTATAATCTATAAAAAGGAACAAACAGTTAACTATGGGGAATTATTAGATGAAAAGGGTGAACTTAAATCGATGCAAAAATTGGAAGAACAAGGTATACGGATGAATTGGTTTTCATATTTGCAAATATATTCAAAGTACCATGAGGATTCCAAAGCAGAGGGATTTTATGATAAGCAAACTGACTTGGATAAGATTTTGATGGGTACTGATGAAAAGGTGATTAAAAAATTATATGGTTATTTATTGCAAATTAAGCTTGAGGAAGAACAAGTTAAAGAAACTATGATTGCGTGGGGGAGGAATTTTGGATATGGGATTGATTTAGAGAAATGGCAGAAATTATGGTCGCAAAATTATAAAATGACAATGTCTACAGCCTATAAAGAAAACTTGTATAAGATGTTTTACAGGTGGCATTTTCCCCCGACAAGGATAGCAAGAATGTTTAAGAACAAATCCGAAAAATGCTGGAAATGTCATCAGAAACCTGGTTCATACTATCACATGTGGTGGACTTGTGAGGATGCTAGAAAATATTGGACTAAAATCCACATGTGGCTGGAAAAAATGACAAAGAAGCATATAGACTTGAAACCGGAGTTTTTTCTATTGGGAATACTACCAGATACTTATAGTAAAGAGTTGAAATATTTGATTGTAAATGTATTGACTGCTGCTAGGATTGTATTTGCAAAAAATTGGAAAAATGAGAAAATTCCATTGCAAGAAGAAGTTGTAAAGAAAATTTTGGAATGTGCTGAGATGAGTAGATTGACTTTTGAAATTAGAGAGCAAGAAGATAAACAATTTTATTTAGTTTGGGATCTTTTCTATCAATGGTTGAATGATGAAATATTAAAATATAAAAGTTAGATAATAAGGAATAATAATGATTTTATTTTCCCTTTCCTTTTATTGGTTTTTGATACTATATTTATATAATAGCTTTCTTTGTTTCTTTCTTTTTCATATTTGGGATAGAATTGGTATGATTATAAGATTTGTTTTAGAATAAAATATTTAAAATATAGTTATCTCATAAAGGCATGACCGAATAAAAGTTTAGTCAAATTTTTTCTTTTTTTTCTTTAATAGAGATACTAGGATTTATAAATTTGTATTGATAAGAGTATTATATAAAGTAACTGTAATTGTGACTATGAGGTGAATGCACAAAACCGATGGACCAACCGACTTACGGTGTGTACAAAAATATGGGGGAGCTGATACTTTTATGCTTTGTTGTTGTGTTTTTTATGTTAAAAAAAATAATAAAAATTTATATATAAAAAAAAAAAAAAAAAGAATTCCTCTCAAATAGTCCAAACTCAAACATTCAAAACTTGCCACACTATAATAGAACTATAAAACTGTATGTTAAAAATCTATATGGATTAATAACCACTTAAACCCTAAGACGGTTTTGCGGTATTAGATACTACTTGCTTACAATGGTATCATTTGTGAAAGGATTTTGATAGTGTAAACAGTAGGACCACTTTTGTTAGCAATCCTGCTTGTTTATGTATTTACATCATTACTATATTACAAACTGCAGAAGATGACCTACAAATTACAAGAAGTTCTCAAGTTATAGTCATTTATTCAGTGATTGTTTAAAATTATGGTGGCCCTGAAAGATTGATACTTACTCCCTGTCCCTGAAATTATAGCCACTGCACCCGTCTTGCAATCACATGATCAAAATGTGGGTGATTGGCAGCCTACCCACTTGACTTCATCTCCCCTACCTGCCCTATTTCTCCCTCTTCTCTGCCCTTCTGGCTCCCTACACCGCCAGCCCCTGTTGCCCTGTGCAGCCTGGTTCTCCCTATAGCTCCTGCTATGCCTTGCACAGCCTCACAAAGGACCTAGTCAGGCACACAATGTTTAGCGATACAAATTCCAGGCCCAATTGCCATCATAACTCAAGGAGCCTGTATATAAATCCATAAAACATAGTGTTCCTGCTCTTATAACATTTCGGATTCTATAAACATTCCTTAACATCCATTTTAAAACTAGGTGAAAGGATTTTGTCTTCAAGGCCGTTTGACAAATTATCTGGGGTGGTGAATGAGGCCATTTGAATCTGTGGGAATGAGGGTGAAGCAGAATGGAAAGTTACCAGAAAAGTATTCTTATAATTAGAAGAAGTTTCTTAGCTTATATCGCAAATATTATAGAAGTTGTTTTAATACGATATTGTGAAAACCACAAAACTGCTGAACCTAAGAACTAGACATGTTCCTGTAAGCAAGAGTGGGTATGGAAAATAACAGAAGAAACAGAAGAATAAGAACGAATGACGAAGTAGACTTACTTCCCCCTTTTGTAGTACGCTGAGACTGGGAGCTGCATAAAAGTAACCCCCTCAGGAATAGCTGGGGGTTCAGAATTCGCCATGTTAATGGCAAGAACCTTTTGCGCAAATAAACCTGTATTCTCCTACCCTTCGTGGTCTTGTGTCCTGATTTGGAAACAGGATCTGCTGCAACAAGGGTATTTCCATAATGCAGTGTAATTCAGCATTTAGTGAGAAGCAGCATGTTCTGGCTTTTCTGTTCTCATTTGCAAGTGATGCTCTAAACTAATATGGCTGAATATACTAGGTGAGTCACTTCTACCTAGAACAAGCAGTTCTTGGGGCACATACTGGTAAATGCCAAGATAAAAAGGACTTTACATGTTACAACGAGTATTTTGAGTTAAATACTGGTAACTACTGCAGAACTCTCAAAACCATGGCACTGGTAGTTCCAAAGGTGCTTTTTCAAGAGGCAACTGGACTTTCTGGGTTTTGTTTTGTTTTTTTGAAGACATTTCACTTCTCATCCAAGAAGCTTCTTCAGTTCTGACTAGATGGTGGGAAAGAGCTGAAGAAGCTTCTTGGATGAGAAGCGAAACATCTTCAAAGAAAAACCAGAAAGTCCAGTTACCTCTTGAAAAAAGCACCTTTTAGACAGCCATGACCTGGATGACTGAGAATCTCCACAGACATAAATTGTTGCATTTTGCATCTAATAGGGGAGTCTACAAAGGTTGTTACATACAGAGTGCATTGCAGTAGTCAACGTGAGAAATGATAAAGCCAAGACAACCTGCCTCTGGAATTCCTGGCAAAGAATGAATTGGCTGGAATAGAATGGTTCTGCTAGAAATTCTCCTCCCACAAAGACACTGAACCTTGCACTTCCAGAGATGCGCCCCAGCCTTTTCATACAGTAAGAATTTCTGCGTGGGGTATCCACAAAAATGGTAAAACCCAAGAGGCCTGAAGATTCTGAAATGAACTCTCAAAATCTTATTTTAAGGATTCAGTTTTGTCTTGAAGATTTGCCATCATTTTTATTTTGGAATTTTGCAGATGCATCTTGCTAGAAGCTCCAGCTCTATAATGCTAAACTCTATTTTTAGTATTATTGAACAAATTTTATAGATTAACATTTAGTAATGTCCAACTTTGTGTTTTATCTCTTTTCTTTTAATTTTATTACAAAGTATTTGATACTATTAATTGATGTATTTTTTTATTATTTTGGGCAACCGTTGCTTTCATTACAAAACCCTCGTCTGTAATCTTGAGGCCAGTAAATGTCTATAGTTATGCTAGATGGGCCACTGTCTGATGCTTACATTGAAAGTGTAATTTTAATAAACACTCCCTTAATGATCAATTATTTTAAGAAACCATTATAAACACTCACCGTAACCAATAACAAAAGGATTCCAACAAAGTCTTCCCAATAACTGACCAATTAATGGAAATGTTTGGACTGCCGTTGTTGAGCTCTGAAATTAAAGAGGATGCTTAGTCTTGAAATTAATGGGTGCCAAAACATATTTGCTGTCCACAACAGTAGGGGATTGGCAAAATGGAAATTAAGGTCAGAGTATCTTTGGAACAAGTAAGTGCTGCCTAAATGTACAGATAGTCCTCGAGATACAGTAATGGAGTCTGCTCATTATGGTCATTTATCACAACGGCTGTTAAGTGAAGCATCTCATTTAGCAATCCTCCCCATCCTCACTCTCCCCAATATATTGTTAAACAAACATGCAGGTCATTAGGTGGAACACGGGGCAGGGCAGCCCTTGGAGGCCTAGCACAGGCTTGCCTGCTCCAGTCTCCCCCACTTATGCTGCTTCCTGCCCCCTTGGGTGTCCCACGGGCTTTTTCCCACTCCCACTGGGTACCCCCAAGCCTTAGGCCTGATTCCCGGACCACCATACCAAATACTTTCCTCCTCACTCACACCTCACACTTAGAGCTGTGCACATGCAATCACAGCTGTTCACACTACTGCCTTACATACTAGTCACCACATCACTAATCTACTCAATTGTTCTTACAGAGATACAACTGAAAAATAGAAATCAACACAGCAAAAAGAAAACATTAAAGTTATAAACTGAGGTTTAAGGTATTTTAACATCTTTCCACCCAATCCAACTTTTTGTGGATCAACACAATGCTTTTTTAGAAGACATTCTAATTAATTATTAATTATTTACTAATTTTATATATGAAATTTATCTCCTTCAAAAGGGGAGTGGGAAATGAAAAAATACAGAAAAATATACTAAGAAAACTATTTTTTGTTGGTTTTTCTTAACTTTCAAGATGTAAGTGAATAATAAAACAAATTACTGAAAAGTCATACTGATTACATCATTCTATATATTATGAAAAGGACTGAGCCCAACCACAGTGGAAAGAAATCTTAATATTTCAATTACTATTTACTACATTTCATATGAGTTGCAATCTGAAATTTAACAGACACTATACCTACAAAACCTAAAGAAAAATTAACCAAATGGAAAGAAGTTTTGCTATAAAAGTAAATCATGGTGCAGTTAATAAACATTCTTACACAATCAGGCATTTCCATCTTCTCTTTTTTGTAGCTTTAATTACTAATATTAAAATAGCTTTTAAAATGGCAGTAAACCAAGATAATATGCAAGCAACAGTAAAGATTATCATCCTTCTCACTACAATAAATTCTTCAGATTTGATCTACATTTGGAACAAACCCCAGACATTATGGAGTCCAATACAGAAGGTCCATCTGAAGCCAAGTTTCATAAGTAATTCAGTACAATTAGAAATTTCAAGGGAAAAAGTTATGCCCTCAGAAACATAGGCAACTGCTAACAAAATAAACTTTTCAGTAGCTAATCTGCCACTTATTATTTGATCAAAAATGCTTTCCTGACTAGTTATACTAATATTATAGGCTAACTGCCATTATCAACAAAATATATTTTATTGCACACAACATATAACAATACGCTAATTACTTGCAATTTGCCGTCTACAAATTATTATGAATAATAATAGAAGCAAACTAGCTATTTGCCTGTGATCACATAATGGTGATCTGAAAACATTTTGGAAGCAATACCAATAAAGTTTATAGGTCAGCAGACTTCATGGTTTAAGAGATCACTTATAATTTTAGGATTATAAATTAAGGATCTGTACCTAATGAAATATATGGCATGAGAATGAGAACTAGATACTTGTTTACTTTAAAGTATTTTAAAAAGCTTGCTGCATTGGATAGGAAATCTCATGTGAGAATATAGCCAATCAAAAAGAAAAGGTTCATTTTATAATAAATCAGGAACACAGGAAACACATTCCTGTTTGCATTATCTATGGCTGTTTCCCCAATTTGCTTCTATGATCCAGCAATACATTAGGTCACTACTACAAGGCTCTCTGCTACTGTTAGCTTTTTATCTTGTCAAAATGTGGGGTGCAGAATGTTTCTGTAGCAGTCTTCAAAACAGTTCATTCTTTCAGTTAATTCACTTACCATATGTTTCAAAGCTCCATAAATCTGCAGGAGAAATTCCTGTAATTCAGGCAAGTGAAGGCAGACATCTTGCTGAGATTCTAAAGTAGTGATCTGATCCCACTCAAGAGTTTTGTTCAGCCAAAACTCAATGCTTGAGTTAGAGACTCCACTATCTTCAACCATCCTGTCACCTTAACGGAATTTTTTTAATAAAAAAAAAAAGGGGGGGGGGAGGAGGAACAAATGAAAAAAGCCTTTCTCTTAGCAACTATTAATAACTTTTATTACATTACGAGATACTGAATTAAAAATTTGTGTAGTTTTTGTGAGATGCATTATCATAGTAGCTCCTAAAATGGAATTGCTTTGTCTATCAAAAGTAAGGAGGGAATAAAAGGCAATCCATATATCAAAATGCACCACTACTTTATTGCACTTGTCCTTTTGTTTTTGTTTGCTAAATAATATTTTGTGACAAGGACAAAAAAGCAAAATAGATATCAATGATTACGGAAACATGCACTGGCATGCAAAACCCATAACAGCAAGAAACAAATGCAGTTAGAATTCAACTAGATTTAAACTAAGGACATCCTTAAGCTGCAATACTTCATCCAGAAACCACATGTTTGGAACAAGAGAAACACTGTTAATTCTCAGCATTCACAAATCCAAAAGCTTTTAAAATAAAATAAATAATAAATGTCCATGTAATATGCATATTCAAGTATTCCGTATAACTATGTCAGCATCAGAATTTGACCATAAATTAAATATAATTCTTGCAAAGAAGGGGTAACTCACTCCCTCCTCCCCCTTCTCACTCCCTCCAATGATATATAGTCCAAGATCCCACCCTACTCTTTAACCAATTCAGCTGGACATTTTACACAAAGGTGGTATAATAATTCCAAGTACTACCGTTTGGTGCATGCTGGTTAGCTTATAAACACGATCCCTGTTCATTACATATTCATGGTATTTAAAGATTGGCAAGACAGTAGGACTTCTCATAAATATCTTTCATTTAAGTTTCTCCCGCTTCTCTCCGGTACAGCTAATGAAGAGAGTAGGTTTCTTATCAAAATGTTGTACGCCCAACTTTGATACTATTTTGCAGACCCTCTTGGTCCCCAAATGTTAAACATACATCCAGTAAGTAATGTTAGTAATTCTGCATAGATCAAGATGATATAAGATGACCCCTACAAAGATAATTTTAACAGATTAGTGAACAAGTATAATTGAGACCTGCATGTTTTTCAGAGAAAGCTGGGGGTTGTGCCTGCCAATTTACTGCATGGTAATTTCTTAGTTTACAAAATAATAAAAAGAAAACGGCTTAAAGGGCTTTTACAATTAATGAAATCTTGGCATTACAGACACATGAAAATTAATGAGCAAATCCCCTTTTCCATTTCATTTGAATTATTTAATATACCTGCATACTTCCCAACAGGCCAAGAAAAACAATGATTTCACTCATACTATGCATGCCACTCAAACATCAGTCTATCCCTTCCCAAGAGACTATCAAAGATTTTTTGTACTATCCAAACTAAGTGAAACCAAGGAAGGAAATGAGAACATTTTGGGTAGGGTATATGGCATTGAAAAATGGAAGGCATCTGGGCTACTAAGGAGCTTTAAGACCAGTTTCACACACACACTCCAATGCACAAAAATAACTGAAATGCTTTGAGTAACTGAGATAATGAAACATTCTAGGTCATCTGTTATTTTAAAGAATAGGAATTAAGAAGTAAAAGTTCCCAACTGTATATAAAGAGTCTGCTCTCATACCATATAGCTCCTTGGGACCCAACTTTTACTAATATCTTGCATATTTTACACAAAGCCAAGCAGGACAATCTACTCCCTTAATGAATCCATTTCGAGGAAGTAAGAAGACTAAACTTATGTCTTGAAAAGGATTTTTTAAAAAGGAAATCAGCTGGCAAAGATTCTTCTGACAGTACTCAGAGAAGTTCAAGGTGAAAGAACAGGTTTCTGTTCATGCTGTAAAAGCATCTGAAAAATGACCCACAAAGTACTTGGCACATTAGTTCTTAATAGTTATTAACATAAATTATGGATGCGAATGACCATGTGACCTATGCCTTTAAAGTGAAAAATTACTCCTTCTAGTTTATTTTCTGTTTTCTTAATTAATATTTATGCTGCTACAGATGTGAATATCGTCTTCCTCCCAATATTACAGAGCCCACTACTGACTGAGGTGTTCTTGATAATTGTCATTCTGCTCAAGTTACTTTAGCCTTTCTGGGAGAGAACAATGTAGAGTCTTGCTCCTCCTACCTCAGAACCTCCCAGGCGAACTCTTGTTGTTCTCTACTTTTAGAAGCAGGAAACCCTGCAGAGCTTAGGCATGGGGTATTTGTTACATCCTTCAGACTCAGTAAGCAGCATTTCTAACATGGAACGGATTAACTTTATTATATTGAACGAACTCTGGATTAGTGTCTGAATTGTAACACTTTAGTCAGTAACTTATGTTAATAGTTTTAAAGGCAATACACCAGCGAACATCAGTTATGGTCCGTATTTTTAGAAGTATCAGATCTGGGCTGAGGAAATCTAGAGAATAGACAATTACAGCATTTAACCAATATATCAAACTAATACATTTTAGAATGTATTCTCTGAGTTAATTATCTTTAGTCAAACTCAACACCTGGACTATTTGGACATATCCATATAATTTTCTTGGCAACATTATAGAAACTGTTTGCCACTAGGCTGTTTTTGGACTTCACATTCCAGTCTAGACCCCTGGGAATTCACTGAGCATTTTTTTCCTAAGTGGACAATCAGTCATAGGGGAGGAAATGACATCACACAGTAAGAACAGGTTACATATATCCTTTCAAATACCAACAATATTAAAAATCTTACGGCATACAAAACAGAACAATCCACATAATTTTATATTTAATACCAATAATTATGTTAATCAATATGATTACATCTTTATTTAAAAATAATAAATCAAGAATGTATCTAATGATGATTTTGCACTATTGCAAAACAGGACCCCCAATTTAAAAACTCTATTTTCTCCCCACTGTAATTCCTTGTTCCAGTCCTTCCAGACAGACTTTGTCTTGACAGCTTCTGGAATCTTTTGGAATCTTATTAAATATGGCATAGATAATTATATAGCTCAATGCCAAGTATTTTATCTTGCACGTGGAAATTCTTTCTGCTAATGCTAAGATAGATGACAATGAAACAAAATTAGGAAAGCCAAACTGCTTTTAATTTAGATATGAAATCATATCATTTATGATGTAACAAATGAAAGCTTGGAGGAAATAAAAAAAATCACATGGTAAAACTGACATTTGTTTTATGAAATATACAGTGCTTTCATTACTAGATTGATTAAATAAATGTTTAAAATTTTCATTTACAGTGCAATTTATTGCTGAATTTTGAACCTGTCTTACCTGCAGGAAAGATTGTCCCCTTTAAAGCCTGGCAGATGCTTTGCTGTAGAATGAAATCCAAAATGTGGAAATTGGGAATATTCATGCATGGTATTTAAATGACAGCTATTTCTGCATTTGACAGCATGGCTGTCAAAACTCCAAAAACAGGTCAAGTAGCTCTGGGGAGGTCAGTCATAAATTAGAACACTTACTAAGCAACTGGCCATTAAGCGAGGACCACTTGTATTTGGTTTGCCAGTCACATGGCTACCTGGTCACGCCTGCCCAGTCACGTGACCACCAAACCACACCCACTCAGTCACGTGTCCACCAAGTTGAATTGAATAGTTCGGTTTTGCTGCTGCTTGGAATTCCTCCCATGCCTCACTGAGGTAGCATGGGAAATAAAAAAAGATTGTCCTTTCCCTCAGGCCCTTATCCTCTAACTCTTCTATTGCTAGTAGGAGGTACCAGCAGACTTACATTTTTGTGGAAATTGTTGCTGAACCACAGATGTACTAGTCCTAGCAAGTATTATCACATGAAGGAATTGTTTAGCAACATTAAGAACCCCACATCTAGATGCTGACCACATGCAGACCTGTGTAGCATCAAGCATGATTTAAACCCTTAACTTTTAACAGTGCCTTGAATATAATGAAGTTGAATAAGGAATAAAGATTTAAAGATAAAGATATAAAAACCTTTGTGCATTATATTTTATTAATATCTTCCATTTTTGCATCAAACCAGGAAGCAGCCCAAAGTCTGTCTTTCGGTCAGTTGTTTGATGGATGATTTTTATCAGCTTGGTTAAACTTACTTGGATGGACAGAAGTTATTTATACACACTGTTGCACTTTGGCTAGAAGTGGTTGTATATAATTGTAATCTTAGCATTGTAAGCCACTTGGAATTGTGTGGAGTATTGAATCGGATTTTTCTGGCAGAAAGGACAGCACATCCCATGTAGTGACTCTATTCACAATAATATATAGCAGCAAATTGCTCAGCTTTGGAACCAAGTACTGTAGAGAAAAGTTGTACGAGGACTCATCCTGTTTTGATGCAAGCATCCTGGTTGAGGATGCTTTGAAAAAGTACATATCCTACTAAATCAGATTGCTTGCTATTAAATATATTTCCTAGCATTCTCTTACCATATTGTGCAAAGTGAAGCTTCTGGGTAGGTTGCAAATTAGACATATGTGTAATAACACCCACTTGCTTTCATTGTTTAGCAGCTGTTATTTTGTACTTGTGGTAATACTGTATACAATCCTCATGATTAACTATTGATGGTTGTAGCTTTCCTATTAGCTGTATGGTACAAGACTTTGAACCAAGTTGAATTTGTTTTGTTGCAAAATAAGAGAAAAGACACTTGAATAAATGGGATATTTTCTTTTTCATCATCTCTGTAAGTGAAGATCAAGCCATCTATTTTCAGGAGTAAGAGTGAGGCTTTGACCTCATGATAAGAACATATGTACGTTAAATTGCTGGGCTAGAGCTAGGTCCAAATTTTCATTTTACAGCGCAGTTTATTGCTGAATTTTGAACCTGTCTTACCTGCAGGAAAGATTGTTCCCTTTGAAGCCTGGCAGATGCTTTGCTGTGGAATGAAATCCAAAATGTGGAAATTGGGAATATTCATGCATGGTATTTAAATAACAGCTATTTCTTTATATGAGATAAAGCAAGTAATCGTCAATTCAGAGCAAAGTAAGCAACACCCAAATTCAGGCTATATTGTCAGTTTTTAAGTGAAGACACTAATCGTCGCTCGTTAACTTCCTTCCCGGCCAGAGTCCCAGGGACCGGGTGCGATTGTCCGTTCGCACACGGTCCCGCAAGTTGCCTGAAAAAGCCGGCAGGCAAGGTTCCCGGACAAACCAAGGGGCTGCGGGCGGGACTTCCTCCCCTCCCTCCTTTGGGGAAAGGAAAGGGCTGGGAACTTCAAGCGCCCACCCCGCCAGCAGCTCTGGGCTAGGCTGTAAAACTTACCTTTCTCCCGCGGCTGGTGGCAGAGGAGGGAGAGGTGAGCCAGCCGGGGCAGAGCCGTCACCACTCGGCTCCCCGCCAGCCCGCACCTCGGCCCCTGCTCGGATTCTCCGCAGCTGCTGGGGGGGCGGTGTGCGGGAGGCAACCAGGAAGCACGAGGCTTACGCCACCTGCATTGCTCCTCTGCATGTCGCCCTTCCCTCACCCAGCCGAGCGTTTTAGCCGAGTTCGGACCGCCGCCGTGCAAGCTCCATGGGCTGGAACAGGGGTCTCCAACCTTGTCCACTTTAAGACTTGTGGACTTCAACTCCCAGAGTTCCTCAGCCAGTTTTGCTTTGGGAGTTGAACTACACAAGTCTTCAAGGTTGGAGACCCCTGGGCTGGAAGATCCGCTCTCGCGAGGCTTAACTCGCATCATTCCCACAGCGGCGGCCCGCATTCAGCCAAAGCGCGCAGGCCGGTGCGCGGCAGAGGGAAGGGGTTTCCTCAATAAAGCATTTCTTTTAGCAGAGGACACTCAAAGAACTCCACCTCAGCCGGCCTTTCCAACCATCGTGGTACCAAAAGAACAGCCAGGCGGGGAGCATCAGCAGGATGACCCCGTTAAGAGGCCACGAAGCCTTTGCACGGAGCTCTGTACTGGAAGCGAAGCGCGCTTTATTTCGCCCAGGGGCGGGAAAGCTGCTCTGCAGCGTTTCTTTCCCGCGCGCTACTATCCCCGGACAGCGCCTGCGCGAGAGAGGCGCAAAACTCCTTTCTAGCTTCTGCCCTGGAGGAAGACTCGGGCATTTGGACTTGAGGGGTCGGGGAGGGGTCCTCCACAGTGGGGAAATAACACAAGCTGGAGTCCTTCCACGGGCTCCTTATTTGCGGAGGCTCGCTGATGCTCAGGTCTAGCGCCTGGAGAATGCAGGGACAGACCGGCGTGGAAATTTTTGCATCACGAGTCTGCGTGGAATAACTCGTCCAGTCCCCCACGTCCCCCCCCCCCCAGCCTGTAGGAAAGGAGAAACGCAACTGTCACGGGAAGGAAAATCTAGAGGGGAGGGAAATGCGATTTCTAGAGGGGGAGAGAAAAGACGTCCGAATGAATTGCCAACGGGATTCCGCGAGGGGCAGACGGGGTCACTGGTGGGAATTCTGCTCAAGTTCTCGCGAAAAACCCCACGTAGTCGCTGGGAGCGGAAAGCGATTCATCGACACGTCAATCAATTGAGCTCCCGTAAATCACATTGCGGGCGATCAATATTTGCTCGAACCAATCAGAAAACGCATGGATGGTTACAATCCAAGCAGCTTTTCCCGAAACGCGAGGAAATGCAAAGCGCAGCCCCACGCGCGCGTTTCATCCCCATTAAAGTTTTTTTTTACACCCCACCCTTCTGAATCGGTAAGCAGAGGAGCAGAGTCCGTGGCAGCCTTCACTGCCGTTGCCTCTTTGTCCCCCTTTCATTATTTCCATAGTATTTAACTTGGCTTTTGCCTCAACCGAGATCTCAACCCAAGGGCTCCTCAGCCGCTTCGTTCCTGCCCCTGCGAAGTCGCTCCTGCTCGCCCGCAACTCACCGAGGGTTGCCACCCGCCCAGCTTTCAAACCTTCCTTGCGGGGGAGATTCGGAGAGGCCACGAACGGCAGCCTGTGCGGCCAATGGCCGCTGGGTGAGGATGTTGCTCCTCCCGGTGGCTTCCTTGAGCCAATCTGAGGCGCAGAAGGTGGGATTTCCTCGCCGTGCAAGCGGCCTTTTAACCCCTTGAGCTCTTCGGAGGCTAGGCGGGAGTGGAAGGCTCACTAAAAGGCGGGAAAACCATCCTTTGGACGTAGAATGTCAGCCTGAAATCCTAGGCTGACAATTGCTAAAGATAGGTGTTATATTTAAGGGGGAATTATTGAGACAGACCAGCAGATTCAGGGTAACCTTTTTATTTAAAAGCTAACGGGTAAATATCAAACCACGCGCTAACACAGCGGTTGACAGGCGACAGCTGATCGCGTCTGACAGCGCTCTATATAGCGCGCTGTCAGATACTGTAGCCAATCAGCTGTCGCGCTGCCTCCCGCTCATTTTTCGGACCAGACAGAAGACTTCAAATCATAACACTAGACGCTTAAATCAATCTTGAGTAACGAAGCTCGTGGCTGCAATACAGAACGTCATTTTTGCTCTTTTGCTTTCTTTTCCATTCCCCACCCCCACCCTGCTGTTGAAATGCCATGATTGTGAACAGATTAGGTTTTAAATTAGTTCCCTTTGTATCAGACAGACAAACAAACTTGAAATCATTTGTTTATTTATCAAATTTAGACATCCAAGTGACCCTGGGTGACTGTCAATGAATAGATCATGTCTTTTAGCACAGAAAGTATGGATCTGACTGACAATCTAACCCTAGAACTAATCAGACACATCCAAGATGAGCATCAGCAATCAGTTTGGGCAAAGACAGAAAGCAACAAGGATACTGTAATTTTAGCACCTTAAGGAGGTAACGAATATAATGTAAAACTAAAGGAAGCATGGACGGATGCTGCAAAGAAGTGCCCACTGCCTGCAATACACCATATGTAGCCGGCCTTCTAGAAATATTTAGACCAGATGGGCAAGTGTACTTTTGTAAAGATGATGTCTGATGTATCCTCGAGTTTCAGTTTATAGTGCTTTGTAAGTGATGATCGGCACTTGGATCTTGAAGTCTTGTTAACCAATGCAACGCTGTAAAAAAATGCTGTTTTTTTCTACAATGGTGGGGTGGGGTAGCCTAGCCGTAGTTTAGCTCACTGTATTTCAAACTTGGCAACTTTAAAATGGGTGGACTTGAACTCCTAATATGCTGCTGGGAAATTCCCGTGAAGCCACCAAAGCTTCTGAAAATCACACGAGAACAGGGTATGTTTCATGTGGTTTGCAGAGACTGAGTTGAGGCCATTCTCTGAAGTTGCTTCAGGAACAAAGAAAGGTCTTTGTGTGTCTTGAAACAGTCTCTATTAAGCTACCGGAGCCTGTTAACAGAAGGAGAACAGTGCTGAAGGTGAGTAGCGCACAGTAGATTCTGGCCAGTGCTGTGCCATAGAGGCAAATGTAGCATTCCCAAGGCTCGCACACCTTGGTGAACAGTGCAAGGCAGCCTTGTTGAGTGGTAGCAGTGGGAATAGGGCTGAAGTCAGGCCTGGCCTCAATGTTATTGCTGAGTACCTCTGGTCAAAGTGGCCTAGATGACAGGGAAACACAAAACTGTTTCTTTTGCTTGAGTGTGTGTATGTTGACACTCCAACAAAGAGGCCACTACTCTGCACTGACAATTTCAATATGTTAATAATATATCCTTTGTGGCAACTTCTCCTCGCTTCAAGGTATCTTCTATGTATATTCAATGCTCCGAGAAGCCTTAATGTATGAAGATATAGCAAATCATTAATTTGCCAGTCAAGTATTGGTTGTGATTCCATCAGAATTATAAATAGGTTTTTAAACAATTCATTGCATAACCCAGGCTGAAAGATGTAAAATTGATTTTACTGGTGTAGGGAATGAATGGTTCCTCAACATCATAACAGTGAGAAAATAAACTATTAATTTCAGTGCAGCGGTATGTACAACCTTTTAATTCCATTTTTGTAATATTTTTCCTGATGTACTTTGCAAGGAAGGTTTTTTTTTCCTCCTGTCAAATTAGTATTAAATGTTCTCTACTTAATGAAGCAGTGAGAAGTCCATCAGCTGCACTGCAGGATTTAATTTCCTTTGTGACAAAACAATAGGGATTTATGTTGCTTTTCAATATCTATTTAATATTATAAGTGGAATGGAGCAGAAACTAATAGACATTTTTACAGCAGGCAACAAATTGGTCACATTGGCTTTCTAGATAGAGTGTTATTTTAGTTTAGTGCATTTTGCCTTGACAAAACCCCTCGTTTAAAACTGTGGCTGGCTCCAATTGGCTCATTCCCATTTTTTTCAAATTCCATTGGATATAATAATATAACAATAATAATATGCTTAAAGAGAATTTTTATAAGTTGATGTATTGTTGATAATTAACACCAGATAAGTTATCTGAGATGTATAAAACTATGTCAAATATATGTTAGAGGTATAAAAAGAAAGAAGGGACCTTTTATACCATTTATAGTGGACATATGATAAAGCACAAAAAAATTTGGACTGGGATTCATCTTAATACAGAAAATCCTGAAAATGGAGATAAATGTGGAACCAAAACTTTTCCTCTTGGGTCTAATGGAAAAAAAATTAGAGAAAAAAATTGGAAGATTGCTGTATGCGCAAAAATGGAAGGACACTTCAATTCCTACTATAGAAGAATGGTTGCAATGGAGTTCAGCTGATGGAGTTGGCTGAAATGGCAAAATTGACTACTCTGCTCAAAGAAAAGAACATAAGTACTTTTGTTTCCACATGGAAACCACTTCTGAACTTCATGCTTGATGTGGAAAATAATGAAACTTTGATTCGGGGTTTTTGCAGATTAGACTGATAGACTTTTGTAGAAATGACTGATTCATACTATTATAGTAAAACAAAAAGTTGTGACTTGTTGTTATTGCCTTATTACACTGTAACAGACAGTTAGAAGTCAATGCTTCTTTTTCTTTCCTTACCCTTCCTCACTTTTCTTTGCCTTTCCCCTTTCCTCTTCCTGTCCTCGTATTTGTTTTTGTATTTTTCATTTTATAATACTTTATAACCCAATAAAAATGTATTTAAAAAAATTCAAATACTGGATAAGAATTCCCTTGTGACAGGAAAAGAAATACTTTTGATAAATCAATGAATCTAGTACTTAAAAAAGGATAGTGTGCTTTGTTCCATCTTCATATTAAGAAGTAACCTAAATTCTTAGTCGTTTCAGATTGATTGTATCTTTGGCCAAATTATAGAATATGAGACACCTTAAATTAGAAAAAGATTAAGAATATAAGTAAAAGAAATAAAACAAGTAAAAGCTTAAAACAAAATACAACTCCTTAACTACCACCACACTTACCAACAAACATAGCTTAATATTTATTTGCTTCCTATTGTCTCCTAAGAAAAATAATTCAGTTCTTAATCTTAGTTTGTGATATCAATATTGGCAACTTTCTTGCAGAGAAAATGTGCCCTTACATATATATAAACGATTTTCCTAATTTGGCAACAAAAGGCCCCCCAAAGTAGACCAGAAGACAAAAAATTAGTTAATTACAGTATACTCTACTTTTGATGCACCAATTGAGGGTTTATTGTTTACAAATGTCATGTTAAACACAGGACTTAATTATGGCCATTTATATCATCTGTGTGATAATGTCATACAAATGATACAATTGCCCCATTTGTGTGGTTGGTATAATTATATTACAGATTGATATGAATTACCTCAGATGTGAAACTGCTGCTCAGAAGGTGTCAAAGTCTATAAAATTAAGATTCCCTTACAATATTCTTTTTTTCTTGCTATTGCTGTAAATATGAGCATTTTTCTTCATTATCAGTGTTCACAATACTGCATCAGCTTTTCACCTTTCACATTTTATAAACAGAGTGTACATGGACTTCCCCAGAGCTTCTGTGGATTGGACTCAACTGTCAAAATTTGGAATGGGGAAAGTACTTCAACGCCACTTGTGCCACAGTTCCTGGCGCACACACCCTATTCCACTAAAGTCTATTTAGACCAGGACTTAATTATTTGCATTATTCTTATTACTTATGCTAGTCACTAAAAGGAATTAACGTAAGGCATGAATGCGATAGTTCATTATAATCAACCTGTTTCAGATTCTCCTCTGAGGTATCACTTATATTGCAGCTAAGTGCACACCTCCTTATATAATTAGGGCACTATAGTTTCTCAATGAGGGACACTCAAAGTGGCGACTTATGTCAAAGCATGTAGCTACATGTTTAGTTTAACCTTAAACAAATGTTCCCTGGCTAAAAAAAATGATTAAAAAAAAATTAAAGGAAATAAGAATCATAGGTAGGATTAACAGAGACCCGAGTAATATTGAATAGTGTAAAAGATATGAAATATAAATGGGAAAAGTGGTTTCCAAATTAATGCTGAAATTTGAACAATCCAATGTAGGAAGCTGCATCATGAGGAGAAAAATTTCAGTTACAGAACACCGTAAGTCTAATGTTCCTGTTTACTTTGCTTCTACCAGATCATTCCCATGACTACTTCCATACTACTTGTTGATAATCTAATTTGTTGTGTCGATTCTCATTTTGTATTACTGTGGAGGTTTTTTTCAGTATGTCAATTTGTAGAATGCTTACTGAAGTTGCCAGAGGTGATGGGGCAGGAAGCCAAGAGAACACCAAGATAGGTTGCCGTGGCCATTCTGTTGAGGACTCAGCTCTCTTATATTGAAGGCATAAATGTTTACACCTAATACACATTTTATGCACTGCGCTTTGACAGATGTAGGATAAAATTAACGTAAATGAAATTGTGATGGATTATCATTGGATATATGTTTTAATGTAGGGATGGGAAAATTAAAGCCCTTTTTGCAGCCTTTGGTGGACTGAAAACTGACAGGATAATTGCTTCTCATTTTGAAATATGGAACACATGAAAAAACTATAATTGTACATATGTATTTCATATTTAAAAAGCAAACAAAGCCTTCGAAGTTACCCCAAATCCTGTTCTACTCACACATCAGATGTGAACCTTAGCCTCTTCAAAATCTTAGGTTCAGTCCTTGGTCCTGAAAGGTTGCCCATCCTACCACAAGACTATTGCTTGTTATAACCGACTAACACTGCTAATCCATTAGATCTGGTTCTTGAGAATTCAATGAAGGACTCCCTTTATTGTCTAGGCAGCAAAGCAGTCTCAGTCCACAATTTGTCAGAATTATAGATCTGTGGCTGCACACCAAAGATCTGTTGCAACTCTGAGATCCCACCATAAACATTTCACGTTAAACAATTAAGGTCATTACTGTCATTAAAAAGGTTGTCCAAAATATTGTTTCAGTTAGTCTGTATGAATCAAAGAAGATACAAGCCACCATTTTTAATAAATGTTCCACAAGCAAAATACGTAAACAATAAGTTATAATATTTTTATTCTTGTTAGAATTTCTATCAGTGTTTGAACATTAATGTTTAGAGTTTGTACAAATTTTCATTTATGATTTAAAATTGAGAACCACACTAGATCACAAAATGGTAACCCTAAACAGTTCAGAATGACATGCAATATTCCACTCTCTCCTTAATACTGTTGACCTTGATTTTGTTTGCAAATGGGATAGATGAAAAATGTGCATTGTATTTTATGTCTCAGCATTGTTCCAAAACATAATGGTATCATTGTCACATATAAACTCTTTTAAAAATATAATTCTGTCAAAAGAATTGAGGACTACTATGTACACTACAAAAATAAATTTTCATATAAATAAATTATATGGCATACTTTTATCTTTGTAACTGAAAATACAAACCCATTCCTGCTAAAAACAGGCAATGAGAACCAGTCTGAATATTTTTTCCTTTCGACTTCTCACTATAAAAAAACCTACTGAATGAGTTCTTAATGTAAATGTTATATATATCTTCCTATTTAACATTAGTAAGCATTCTATACAAATAAAAATTTCAATTAAAAAGTAAAAACATAGCTGTAATAGTGTTTCCAATAGAAATAAAATCCCTGCATTTTGTTTATTAACTGGCATGACAAATACTGTAAGAAAACATTCTTATGATACAAAAATATAAATATCAACCATTTATCATTTAAAAACATAGAAGAGCTGATCACTGAAATCTTTTGCCAATGTGACAAGAGAATATGGTCTATATTATGCACCAAGGAGTAGGCAGTCCCATAAAATAAAAAGGTGTGTCTCTGACACACAAACACACATACAGAGGAAAGTTAAGGTGAAAACTACTGAAAACTATATTCTTGTACTTGCTCACTTTCTCCCTTTCTTAAAAAATAATAGGAAGCAAGTAAGCAACTGTCATAACTTTTGAGTCACCAGTACAAGATAGAGAATATAGCTTACAATTGGTACCAACTTTGAAAGATTGTTTCATTCTTTCTCTTTATAATCTGATTTTACCAAGATTTGAGTATTTAGATGCTTCTGTGGCAAAATAGGCCTAGTGATATTTCCTGCCTTTCGTACCACTGAGACAATGAGATACCCGGTTGTTCTTCAGAAAATTCAGATTAGACTGATATCCACAACCACTTTGCGTCAATGTATTACTAATGTTGGAGCTGAAAGGGGTACATTAGTTAATGTATTACAATGACAGATATATAGCAGGGAGGAATGAGAAGCTGTGAGCAAAAGACAAGTATTACTCTATTCAAACAGTGACTAAATAAGGAGATTGATTACTGAAATAATCATATCAGGCTCATGCAATACAGGCTACCAAGGTTTGTACAACACTGCTTCCTACTAAAGTTAAATCAAGCTGAATTTAGGTGTTACATTGCTTGATGCAAAATCACTTAAATATTTGAGCGTTTTTTAGACATAGCTTCTCTTGGCTAATTAGATAAAAGTAATTGCTCCAGAACCTCTTAACAAATACTGATGAGTGCTGATGGATAAGCACAAGTCTCAAATTTAACAGGCATTGTGTAAAAGCATTAGCTTTCATTCACTGAGGTGTGTTCAGAAGAGTATTTGCTGAGCTATGTGCCAGCAAGAAACTGCTTTCAAATGCTATCAGAGTGTATTTTATCACTGTGCATATAATCCTACTTTTAACTCAAATTATATGTAGGAGATCAATTTGCATGTTGTCTCTCATGCTTCTTAGAGTTTTGTTGAAAAGGAGAATTCTCTTGGTGGATATGATGATGTTGTAAGGGCAGCTCATGCAACATGTGGAAGAAACGCAGGAATATCTCTCTTTTCATGAGATCAGGACACAGCAGAGAAAATTGACCTCATATTTTTCAGCCTCTATTACTATTTTAAACTAAAATGCTAAATGTTAACAAAGATGGTAGGGAAGCCATGCTGACTCTGCGCTTTTCATATAGTTACATATAGTTACACAAAAATGTTTTTTCTTTGAAATGTAGAAATGATGTTTAGAATTGAAAATGCAAAGAACATTTAATTAAAGGATAAAACTTTTACATTTTTGATGAAAACCTTCAACTTCATGTAGTTTTATATGGAATACAGGGCACGTATCGATAATTTGTGTAGCTTACGTCTTCTGGCTTTGCCTTTCTTACTTGATTGCTTCAAGTAATTCGTTCCTATTTTACTATATTTTCTTTTATACATTTGTTACTCTTTTACTTTGAGAAATGAAAGCCATAAAAATAGTATTAAATGAACCATCTTACTTCTTGCTGGGCTTTGCCTAATATGGTAAGTTTTTAATTATTACAAATTTGAAAAATACTGATGCTTATTTAAACATCTAAATTATTAATACTTAAGATGTATTAAGCTAGTGTTTCTCAACCTGGTATCTTCCTGATTAAAGGGCCTATAGTACAACACACCAGGGTTGCCAGCTTGAAGACAACATTAAAAGGGATGTGTTTTCAGATCTGATAACCTAATGAAAATGTTGTTTGGCTAACTTGAAAGTTTCATAAAATGTTGGGACAAAAAAGATGAACTACATCAATTGTATTGCATATTGCAGCCATGACCGTCTATGATCATGACAATCAAGTGCAGTTCTAAAATACACCAAACTTTTTACTATTTAGCTTCCAGCATCTCTTCCTGATTCTGTTTTGAATATGTGGGATGATGCAGTGAGGACAAGAGGCTATTTTGTTCTCACTGGAGATATAGCCACGGTGCTGTCAGCAGAGGCAGTTTCTGTAGTTTGTTCATGGCCAAGTACAATACACCAGAAGCCTAGAACCTACAAATGCTGGCTCCCAATCATTCCACTCCTTTTTTTTTAATGGTGGTATTAACAATTGTTAAGCTCCATCTCAATCATCATCATCATCATCATCATTATAATATTATTATTACTATTATTGGTGGTTTGTCACAGAGCCAGCTGTTTAGACTGGATGTGGAATTTTATTAATTAATTATTGACTGATTGCAATCTTACAAACATTTGCTCACCCATGAAAATTTGCATTAATGCTGATTGAACTGAAAAGTACAAATCTGTAGCTTTAGCCAACATTGGTAGGTTATTAAAGGCAAAAGGTATACAACAGGTAATGTTCTGGCCAAAACTCTTACATGTGAGCCATTAATAAGAGATGAGAATTATAGGTACATCACATACTTTCAGTGCTACATTCATTTCAGCAGGGCATATGTTAGATGTTCACAATAATCTGTTCTCCACAAAACAGTTACAGTACACAAACCACACAGCTATGCCTACTTCAGTCATCAGCGTTAAATACACTGCTCTTCATATCTGCTCATTAAGGAAAAAACAAAAGAAAAATTATCACGCATAGCGTGTTTGAAAGTTAACCGAAATATTTCATACTACCACAGGGCTGTGATATGAAAATTTTTAAAATAGTTTAACATTCTCTCTCTCTCTCTCACACACAAATATATATATTTATGAACCTTTACACAAAAATATCCTAATACATTAGCAATATTTGCATAGAATTATACATGTAAATCATACAATATTTAAGCAGCAGCAACATATGCTGAAATTTATGACTAGTTTAAGCTTAATTGTGGCATAGAAATCAACGTACAGTAAGTACAGAGCACAAACAACAGTCCCCACTCTGTTAAACAGGAGTTTAACACAACTCCAGATTATACTACATTATAGCGATTCTCTCGTATGTTACAGATGTGTACATCTTTTAAATATTTATAGAAATAATTCACAAAAATTTACAAAAGATTACAGTAAAGGGGAATATTTGTCCTGGTGCAGCATTGTCCTTTCCCCCCCATAACTTGAAGTAGTTTCTCTTCAAGCGTTTCTGGAAAGACGAGGTCTCCCATCTTTGGCCTCTTCTTTGCTTCAGTTATTTCCCTGTACAAATAAAGACAAAAAAAGGAGTCCCCCCTGTTCACTTAAAGTTCAGCAAAGATAAATAAATCATCTCAGCCGAAGCCATTCAGCAAGGCTGCAATTAAAAATCACAAGATGTGTGTGTTTGTGTGTGTGTGTGTGTGTGTGTGTGTGTGTAAAACACTCAAGCTATATATATGATCTGGACTTTTTCTGAGTGCTTTAATGTGGACGTAGTAAATTCTAAGAAAAACAATTTAACCACCTCTGTTGTTTAGTTGTTCCCTTATTAAGATATTGTAATTTCCCCTCATATTGTACTGTCATCTTATATTCCATAACTTCCTTCATTGGCTCCAATGAGCACAGGCTGTGCCTATACATAATGCTGAGCCAGGGCTATGTGTCTATGGCTTCACTCACAGATTTCCTCTTACCCCTCCTGTGCTTCAGAGTAGCATTAAAGGGGAAATAGAAAATAATGACTTGTTTTTCTTCTTTTCAATTAATTTATCAACATATTCAAACTGAGTTAGCTAAATCAATCACCAGTAAGAGCAAGAAGCTTTTTCCTTCTTAGCCCACAACCATCCTGGCTGCCATCAAAAGTGATCCCAGAAAACAGATATTGTCTCTTACATTTGAGTCTAGACTCAAGCCCCTTTTTATTTATTAAATTCATATAATTGCCCATCTCATTTGTATGTTTTAGAAATTCCTCAATACAATAAGAAATTGCTTAAAGCTACAGCAGGCTATAGCAATAGTACTTAGACTTATTTATATACCTTTTCATATTCCCCTCAATAATCTGGCTCCTCATTTTACCAACCTTGGAAGGCTGGAAGGCTGAGTCACCCTTGAACCTGTGAGGATCAAACTCCTGACAGTGAGCTGAATTAGCCTGAAATACTGCATTCTAACCACTGGGCAATCATGGCTCAATGCTAAGAGGTGGGTAAGAAATGCGCTGAAAGCAATTATGCATGCTCTGGCAGATGGTGTGAGTAATGCTACCCACTGGAGATGGAAAGCTTTACCTTAATCTGAGCCCTTGCCATGAGTCCTTTCTTCACATTCAACATCTTGCAGTTCTATGATTTCTATTTTAGAGTTCCTCCTCTCACACCGGACATTAAATGGCACATGAGGATCCTCAAATTGTTCATGCTCAGCTTCATGGTGTCTCTCATAGGCTGGACAGCTCCCTCCATGAGGATTGTGGCTATGCCCAGCAGGATGTACAGCTACAGTAACTGAAGCTGAGGCAGTCACAGTAGTGATAGGCTGGCAGCATGATGGCACAGAAGAGCCTGTGGCAGTGAAGGCTGGATTTCTGATGTTCTGAGAATGAGTTCTCTGACCAGAGCAATCCCTGTTATTAGAACAGGAATGCCCTTTAGTAAAAGTTTCAAAGGCATCTCTACGTGGCCGGTAAGGGGGTGGTTGAAGTCCTTCCCTTAGTTCTCTTTTCAATTTCTTGCTTTTATGCCATGTTTGTTGGGTTCCGGGGTCTTGATTAGATTGTAGCTTTGGGCTTGATGGATAATAGCTTGCTTCTGGTTGGATCACCTGAAAAAAAAAAGGGCAGGGAAACCTTTGAGCCATACTGTGGAACCAAATGTTATTATCTGGTTTATAAAACAGTTTTTTGTTGCATTAATTAAATTTACTTTGCCACAGCTAAGTTACTTGGAAGCCTCCATTTATTGTTGCTCTATAGCCCTTTTATTTCATAAAGAGCAACAAAGCTTCATAGCAGCAAAACAAAAGATCATGCCTCCATCCACAAAATCACTTTCCACAACGTCACTCAGGTGTGTTCTCATTAATCCATTTAAGTAGTTTCTCCTTTTGCAAAAAAGTGGAATGGAAACATTTTCTCGTGTGGCTCTATAAGCAAACACTCTTGGTTTTTGGCAAGAGATAGAGTTCAAGTAGAAAATACTAATGAGATGGCACATTTAACTAATCAAACTTCAAAATATGTACAGTATAGCATCTTTTTAAATCAAATACTTTTGATCCAGAAGTGTACCTCTGCTCAGGGGCATCCACAGGTGGGGTCAATAATACAAAAATACCTGGCACAACCAGACGCTCAAACTCCTGCCCCCTTTTAATGTATGTTGTTCTCATGTAACAGGACGAGCCTTCAATTGCCCAGTCACGCCTGCCATTTTGGTCCTGTTGATTTCCTCTTCACCACCATGGATGCCCCTGACTCTACTTGTTTTTTATGGCTCTAATTACCTATTCTTCATCTCAGAAGCAGCACTGGAAGCGAAGCAGAAGAAAAGAATCCCTTTTTATCTCCTACTTTAGCTTGTTCAAAAATAAATTTGAATTGGACATGGTTTGGAAAAAATACTTTGATAAATATTCATCACTTGTGTCAACTTCCAGCTAGAAGTTTTTCTTTTTGTTCCTGATTGCTTATATTCAAAGGCTACTTAATACTAATGAAAGAGAACCTGGAAAAACTCAATTTCTGACTTGGAAATTATCTCAACCAAACCACTTCTCTCCTCAAATCTCTGTCAGAAAAAAAAAGATACAAATTAAACCCACCTATATTCATTTAGCAGTGGACTGATTCTAACATTTCAGTGTTTTTTCATTACTGAAGTTGAATTTTGTAATAAGTAAAGTTTAAAAATACAATTAAAGGACAGGTGAAAGTAGACTTTGTATTATTACCCCTTTTTGTGTTCTTGAGATAAGATTATGAACACATGCCTTGCTCATTAATCATCTCCTTCACTTACAAACAATTACTGCAGGGGTGGGATTCAAATTTTTTAACAACCGGTTCTGTGGGTGTGGCTTAGGTGGTGGGCATGGCTTGGTGGTCATGTGACTGGGTGGACATGGCTTGGTGGTCATGTTATTGGCTGAGTGTGGCCAACTCAATATCACTCACATCGAGGCACGCATCTCCTCGCCTGGCCTCTCAAGACTATGGGGATGCTGCAACAGTCATAAGTGTGAAAAATGGTCATAAGTCACTTTTTTCAATGCCATTGTAACTTTGAATGGTCACTCCACACAAGCAAAGTGCCAGCAAAGATGGGGGAAAAAACTCCAGAGAAATTCCTGAGACAGGAAGTCTAGGCCTGCCAAGAATGTAATAAGGGTTAACGGAGAGGCAGTTTCTGTAAGCAACACCAGAATGTTTCCTTCCTGCCTTCCTTACAGGATTAGGCCAGTAATAACTTCTAACAACCGGTTCTCCGAACTGCTTAGAATGTTAAAAACCGGTTCTAGTGAATAGGTGCGAACTGGTAGAATCCCACCCCTGAATTACTGTTTTCCGTACACTTATAGTCACATGAAATTTCTAAACAGATATTACCTAACAATGTCCCTTGTTCAAAGAATTATAATTTAGCATTTTTAACTGTAGCCATTTTCCATTTTAATTTATTATAAATATTCTTTCCTGAAATGAACTGATTCCCTGCTTCAGGATTATTTTTAACAATAGGAATGTGGGATCACTGGTACTATAATTTAAATATCAAATGGGATTTCAGTTACTCACCGTGGATTTGGCAAACACTGGGTTTTCAGTTGCTTCAACAATTACTTGATGGGCTGGGCCTCCAGTTCTCTGTGGACCCTCATACTGATGTAGCTCCTCACTGATTCCTGATACTGTTGTCTGAGAACTGTATTCGGAATCAGATGTATCTGAGCCATTTTGACCATGAGTTGGTGGAACAGCAAACCTCACAATGCTTGGAGGAAGTTCAGAAGAAGGGGTAGGTAGTCTGCTCCTTCCATCAGCTGGAGAAACCTGAGAATAACATTTTTACAGCTCTTAATAAATCAATGAAAGTTTGGGGCATTTTCTCAAGATTAGAGAAATACCCACCATCAGTCTTTGAAAAATTACAGACAAATTGTTTCCATTTTTCACCTAACAAACCTTGATGAACAGTGCAGGAAGATAATATGTATTAAGATTTGATACACTGTTATTTAAACTGTGTTACTGCATGATACATGGGTTGCTGTTGTTATGAAGTAAAAGGGCTCCAATTATTTCATACCTCCAAGTATTGTTACCCCACCCAGTTCTCTGACAGTCTGTAGCATAATTCTTTTCACTGAAGCATCCTCCACTTTACCCATCTTACATTCACCTCCTGTTCAGGATACTGAAAAATCAACTGATCAATCTTCTAATATATTTTTAATACAGAACTTATTTTCTCCCTATATTTTTCCACATTCACTCATTCCTTTCCTTTTCTCCCATCATTCACTAATTTTTCACAGTAAATAAGAAAAAAAGATAAAAAATGAAAAACAAAAAAAAACCCCAAAGAAAAACAACAACTAATTTTTCACTGTCTCTGCTAGTTGGGAGGAACCTGAACCTGCTAGTTGGTAGGATACCAAAGATATGCCAGTTTGGAAGGTAAGCAGCAGTTTAGGTTCCTAATTTAATAGAGTAGTATAAGTATGCTTGGGGTAAAACTGGCTATTGATTGCACTTGTGGCATTCTGATCAAAATCTACCAGAATTCACTCAAACTGTCTTTGCCATTAAGTAGGGAACTATGTAAAAGTCTCAATTGACTAAAGCTATAAAAGAAAGTGAAAGTGAAAATTTATATTGCCCGCTTTTCACACATGGAAACTCAAGGTAGCTTTCAAGGATATAAAACATCACATATAAAAAATAAAACTAATGAAAGAAAACAATCAAATAATAAATTAATATAATAATATAATAATAGCCCCCATTCCTCACCACAGCAACAACACATGGATTGATATGACATGTGAAAGATTGTGTTTTGGAATATGGAGGGAGGGAAGGAGAAAGGCAGGAAGGGCGTGTCTATGAAACAAAGAAAGGGGAAACAATCTGAATAAGGATGGTCTCATCTTTTAGACTGGAGCTGATGAACACATGTAGATGTGGGTTCATTATGAAAAAAGGGCTAAAATATACGTCAAAAAGTATGAATTGCCACCATATGGTGATTCCGGGTGAGTATGAAAAAAGGAATTCAGAGATTGGGGATCTTTATTATAACATTCTAATGAACAGTAACAATAAAACAACAAAGGATGAATTGTGAAGAAATTCTGAAAGAATGAGATTTGAGGAGAAAAGTTCTGTTGGTGTTATGAAGGGATGAATGGGAATGAGACAAGATAGTAAAAAAATGGCTATTAGAGCATTAACAGACCTAAGAATTAATTAGGATGACGATTCTTTCATGAGTTCATGCTTTTTTAAAAAAATCTGCTGTTTCAAGTACTATGTTTAAGTACATAATTTGTGTTTAGAAGAATGTTATCTGTAACATCTTCTCTATGGATACTGCATGTAGTACATTATTTTTCAAACAGGCAGCTCTCTTCTGGGTCTGCAACCGACCAAACTTGATGTCATCATCTGTTCTTCTCTTCCCCCCCAAAATTGTTTCAGGAGAAAGGAAAAAAGGGAAGATGACCTGCCTCAGAGGTAGCTGCAAGTACTGGAATGAAGTCAACCCTGATTAATAGTAATCAATTGGGGGCACTAGCTATGATGTATAGAGGACTTTAATAGATATATGTTTAAGCTTTGTGAATTTTTGTATTATCTGCCTTTTCCCCTTTTTTCAATGTTCAATGTTCACAAGGCACAAGACAAATGAAAGATAACCATAGTTGGACCATAAAATAATACATATCCAATTCCAACTGTTGATAAAAATTCTACTTCAGAATCTACATCAGAAAAGCTAGATCTGTAAAATAAATTTAAGTTTTGGATTTTGAATTATGTTATCGAAGTAATAAATATTATAAAGCAATATAATGTAAAATAGTAAAGCACAAAATATGTATCATTATAACAGAACTTGGGGGGGATTTCTATTGAGCATAATACTGACCTCAGGATACGGTCCAAATAGGGAAAGGAGAACAGGAAGCAGCACCAATCCATTCAAAGCACCTAAGATAGTTAAAATCGCCAAAACAGCAAAGAAATACCTGAAACATTTAAAGATATAAACAGTTACAATCAGAAAGTGTGTTCAATACTAAACATAGAAAACAAGACAAATACACAGTACTTTCATTAAATATTCAAGCAAGCATGCTAACATAACATTCTTTTTTTTCTATTTAATGAATAAACTCAGCATGCAATTTTGTTTTCTTTTTTTACCTTTTGGATTAGAGAGTTCTACATTCCACAACCAAAGTGTTAGTTCAAAAAAGGAAAGAAAAAAAGTTTGTTAATTTGCCAGAATCTTTCAGCATGTAATGTTATTTATGAACGTGTTACACAAACATAAAAATATGGAATGCAAACTGAATGACTGAAAGGATTGAAAGCACAAATACAATGAAAGAGGCCCTCCATTAGTGAAAATCCAGCAGAAGCAAACAAATGAAGTGAAGGGTGTAGAATTTAAACAATTTAGCCTAGAAGGAGAAAGAAGTCCACTTCTCCCAGCAACTAATCCAGTGTGAAATGCTCCTGCTCTAACAGCAGAATCTCTAATTAAATCTCTAGTGTATCAGGTAAGGCTTTTCCTTGTCATTCATTAATCATAACTTTCCGCCTTGAATTCTGTGAGCTCCACTTTTACCAAATAGCTCAAATTGCAACCTTTTTAAACACAGGAACCCGCTTTTGCAAAGAAAATGCAAGCCATTCTGTGGTAAGCCAGAGCATTGTATTGCATAAGAGCCCTCTTCAATAGCCAAGCTACATTGCAAGCTAATCTTTTGTTGAACAATTTAGCATCTCTGAACGCTCTTGTTTTGTGTCACCCAATTCAAACATAAAGGCTGAAGGACTATGGAAGAAGAGGAGAGTGCACAAGTGCTTGTCCTTTCCCACCATTGAGGGCTAAGGTCTGGCATCCTTTATGAATAACATGGCAAACCTGCCAGCCAAGAGGAAAGCTGGGCTAGAAAATATCCAGCATGGGGGAAAGTGGGGATGGGATAGGGAGCAGGAAAAAGAGAGGGAGGGGGAGAGAGAGAGCAGGGAGAAAAAGGCTAAACCCAAAGATGCATTTATGGTGCAGATTTTAGGCAACTGTTTGAAAGTGAAAGGAACAGAAGGAAGAGATGAGCCAAATCTTTTGTCAATAGTTTTGGTCATGATGTCATTTAAACCGGGGGGGGGGGGGGAGACTACAGCTATCCTCCCGTTATGGAAGTATTACATCTGTAAGTTTCTGGTCTTAATTAGTGGAAAGGGGAGGGGAAAACAAGCAACCAATTTCCTACACTAATGTAAATGAATACAACTTTATTCTAGAGTTCATAAGCAACTTCATATAAGAGTTGCTGGAGTCAACTGCATCTCATCAGTCTTGCTCTAGAATAAACAGGGTGATTACAGATCTGACCACTGAGTGTATAAAACCTCTACCCAGATGTGCTGTTGAGCTTAAACTCTATTCCTTAAGGGGAAAATGCAGCCTTTCTCGGGTCTTGAAACAATGCCCAAATAAGCTTTGCTTATTTACTTTCCATCCATCTTCAAAAGAGAGAGAGAGAGAAAGAGAGAGAGAGAGAGAGACGGAGAAAGGGAGAGAGAGAGAGAGAGAGAAAATAAACTAAACCAAACCCAGGTTGTGCTAGAAAATAACAAAAGCCAAGCTCAATTTTAAGACACTAAAAATATTTTTTTGAAAAAGTAATTTTTCAAGGATGGAGACCTAAGGGGCAGTACTGACCACTAGTTGTGTGGTGTTCTGTTCTCACAATAAAATATGAACAGAAGCCCCACTGGTAAAAATGAAGAATGCATATCACTAGCAATCTCTTTCCTGAAGTAAAGAATAAGATGGCAATGCCCTTCCCTGTGTTCTATAGGTAGAAGCTATTGAGAGGCGATTAATATTTACTCCAACAGATAAGATAGAAACACATCTCTTACCACAATCAATGGAAGCAGATTAGCAATTGGGAGGCAAACAGGGGAAGGTAAACCATGTGGCGCAGACAACTTGCTCTTCAACATCTTTCTACCACTTACTATTCTGCTCTGCTATTTTCTTCTACCCAGTATAAACACCGTAAGGCTCAGAGTTGCCCAATTGCTGAGGCTGAGCACTCAAAATCCTAATTACTTCATGATGAAATCACATCTGGAATACCTTATGTAAACACTGAGGAGAGAAATGATGCAGGAATGTAATGAAGAACTGAACAGAGGGGAGAAGTAAGAGGAAGCTTATGGGAAGCTAGGTGTAAACTAGCTTCGAATTTGGAGATATAAGAGAGATATGATTTCAAAATGTTTTGAGAAATTACATTTCTGTGGTGTTCTTTTGACTTTTATATGTTTAGCAATCTAATACTAACAATAGGCTGTTTCCATAATATCCATTCATCTTATTCTAGTTTGTCTGCAATGCTATACCGTAGAGAGTTGCTTTTCTGCTCAAAAACTCTGCCTACGAGGCAGATAGGATCCATTTCCAGCATCTCTCCAGAGAGTTTCCTAAAGCAAGAATTGGTTTGATTCTTTTTATCTGAGAAATAAATGCCCTTAATTAAATCCACCAGCTTTCTTTAGGGTCCAACCGAAAGGCCAACAGGAGGTTTTATGGATTTTACAGGACATCCTATAATCTTGCTAACTGAACATTCATTTCTAATTTTCTTTTTTAATTTTGGTCAGAAAAAGCTTTTTATAACCTTTAGTTTGGAAAAAGAAGGGGCGGGGAGAGAAAGGTCCAGGGTGCTTATAGTTTTATAGGATTTTCAACTCAAAATTATTTTCTATATAAATTGTTGTAAACAATGTTTTGGTGAAAGGCCATCTCTGGTTAACCACTGGCAGTACGTAATCTTTGAGATTAACATAATGTTTTTATTAAAGTCTCGGCTGCTAAAGAGCCTTTCTGAGTTTTTCTCAGCACCTGCAATGCAAGCAGGGTTAAAATAACTAGTCACACAGTACAGTAAAAGTGGAGCCACAAGATTGCAGGCATGTTACGTTATTACAACAGCAGGCAGATAGAAATGTCCAAGTTTCCAAAGCAGAAATAGGCAAAATAAATTAGGAATTGTGAGAAGCCACACCCATTAGGGCGGCTGCATCTCTCCCTTTCTCTCCGCCTTAACCCAGTTCAATATTGAAATTCCCAAACTCAAATTGAGACCATCCAAAGCTTGCTGGGAAAAAAGGAAGCAAATAACTGGATCTCCTTGTTCAGAAATAAAGAAACAGGAGAAGTCTGTTTCTACCTTTAGACGAGACAGGAGACAAAAGAGAGAAAAACAGTTACAAAGCAAGTTCTGCTAACAATATTGCCTACAATCCATAATTGGGTGGTGCTTTTATTATAATAAAACAACATTTTATAACAAGCAGGGGCAGATAGTTCTGAACTCTTTATCAAGCAAGAAGTTATAAAATAAAGTATAGAGAAGAAAAAAAGTGTATTGTAAAATTTAAAGCCAATTGTTGGGGGTTTTGCTTCTTATATCCTCCTTGCTTTTTGCTTGAAGAAGAGTTCTGGAGTACTTGAAAGGTTGTGACATTTTTTGGTGTCCAGCCATGTAGTTTGGATTTTATTTCATTGACGAATTTGGATAAAACTGCTCTTCATTAGTGTAACACTGATATACAGCCCAACAGAATATTGCTTCTCTTATCCACATGTCTTATTATTTAATTATTAAGGACATTTAAGTAATTGGATAAGTGAGGTTCATTTTGTTCTCATAAAACAAAAGGGAAAAATGAAAATAAGCAAGTTCTACCTGACAATAAAGTCAAATTCAGATCCTGCAAGCATTAACACGCCAAGTAGTGTAGACACAGCACCATCCAATACAGGTGCAAACATGTGTTCTAATGCAAGGATAGTCCTACGATTTTTGTCTCCTATCGCTGTTAGAAATGCCTAGAAAAAAAAATTAATTAGTATGCACATCTATAAAATATATTCATTATTCTTTCTTCCTGTTTTATGTTTTATTAAAATTCCATTCATTTCACCTAACAAGAAGAACTAGGGTATCACTGATGCTGTGTATTGTTCTTCCTAACATTTAACACGTCTTATCTTTCTTCCATTTAAAACTTGATGACAATGATTTAATATATTACATTACAGTATTAATTACATTAATATTTATACTGGAGTTCCTCTCACCCCTATGTTCTTAAAATGTGTAATCACTCCCTTAATTGTACTTTTTGACCATCTAAGGTCGGAAAAGGTGTTATATCACAGATTGTTATATATCAATATAATACAGCAAAACATCAGCTAGATAAAACAATGTATTTCTGATGTTATATATACAGAGCCCTTATACATAATGGTTTGGATTTCAACTTCCCTTGACCTTAGGAAGCATGGACAATGACAATGACATGTGGGAGTTGTAGTTCCGAACATCTGGACAGCACTGAATTAATGTACATTGTAGTTGTGCTCATAGAAAAATTAAAGAGACAGAAATTGGGATTTGTACATGCAAATAATGGATGGATCAATAGTCACTGCATTTTATAAGTTCTGAGTTACAAAAACATGCAGTGTAGGTTTTAGCACACTAAAATGAATGCATCTGTGAGATGTGGGGGAAAAACAAGAGAAAGGAGAGTAGATATGAATGAAATATTCATTTGCAAAAATTCATTTTAAGTACTACATACTGCAATTTATTGATAGCTAAATACTGAATATTTTATATTCTGTATGACTTTATTTTTTATGTTCAGCCCGCTATCCTCACACTTTTGTAGTTCCCCTGTTAGACTTCTGGTAATGCTTTTCATTTCCAGTTGTGATTCTGGAAGAATGCTTTTAAAATATGTCTTCTATTTTAAGTAAAGCTCCATCGTGATATTAGAAAGCTGACATCCAAGTGCTAGATCAGCAGGCAGTTTTTTAATTTTAAAAAGGGGTAGAAGGCAAGTGGCAAAAAATATTAACTTAACAGGGCTACAAAAAAACCAAACAAACAAAGGTAGCAGTTAGGGCTTTCTATACCTTTTTTTGTTTTGTTTTTTTCAACCCATCCTCAATTCTGCCATCCAATTAAAAAATAAATAAAGACACAAACTGGAAGAAAAATACTCTAAAAGAAATCTGGTAGCTTTATTCTAATTCTTACATGACAGCTGCCTGAAGTATTTTGGTAGCAAATGACTAGGGGCATGGAGATAAAAGGCATAAGTAGATGAGATGTAAACTAATCACCTTGAGGTATGTCAGCATTTTAAAAAATAGTACCTGGTGCTAGTTTTAGGGTGTGTTTGTGTATGAGAGAGACAGAGACAGAGAGGGAATGACAGACATAAATCTGCAATGCATGGGAGAGGATATTTAACCTGTTACATCTTCAACTATAATTCCTACAACAAAAATCTACAATTAGTGCTGTTTAAAACACCCTCCTGTAGGTGCCAAGGAGATAGTGAAATTCACGTAATAGCTTAAATTTTCATCACTCAAATGACACAGATGGGAAAACTAACACCTAGAAAATTATGTTTCCACATACACTAATATGAGTACGTAGAACCATCTGTTTTGGGAAATAGGCATAATTGATTATGCTATAAAATTACTCCTAATTTAAAGCCTTGGTATTTGCTTTGTACCAGTGTAAATATAAATATGTGAGAATTTGTGCAAACATATAAAAGCACACACACCCCAAAGTAGAAGTTCCTCATCCCATTAAATATATTTTCAAAAAAATCTTCAACATTATGGGGGTAATAGACAAACCAATTTGATTAGAATATTGTATACATATCCCAAATGCCTGAGATAAAGTTTATGAATTCATCTGGAAAAATAATTGTGTGTGTGTGTGTGTGTGTGTGTGTGTATCACCTCTTGATAACTTCTCAAAAAAACAACAACCCCAAAACAAGGAAAACGCATACATTTAAACATGCATGTGACATACTTTTATACTTCTAGTTTATATGAATTAACTGAGAAAACATAAGAAAACAAATAACTAAGAAATACGTAAACATTTTAATGTTTTGCTATTGCATGCAAAGTATTTGCAATTTATTTATATGGTCATATTGTGGTATGCAAATTTGTACTTGATTTTAGAACAACTGCACAACAATTCCCCCCCCCACACACACACATTTCATGTCAGAAATTAGAAGCAATGTTGCCACCTACCAAAGCAATATGAACTGTGAATTCCACTCCAATTCCAACAGATGCAATCAGGATGACAACAGGAACTGCACTTAGTTTTATTCCAATTAGACCCATCATGCCAAAGAGTTCCACCGTCATAAGAGCCAGTACAACCACCTAAAAGATTTTGGATGGTGGTTAATGATTTATCAGGTTGCAGAAACAAAAGCACAGATGCAAAGCACAACTAGCTTATTTTTTTTAAAACCCTTAAGTTATTATATTAAGTGTCTATATCCTTAGAAATGTCATATAGTAATTTCCTCTGAAGGTAAGTTTATAATTTGGCACTGCAATCTAAAACTTTGTTAGTCTTCATTTTTTTTGCAATGTTTCACCCTCTACTTAATTCAGTCCTAGTACTGAGATAGATATATAAAAAGATACAAGATTTTGACTAAGTAGATAACTGTAGGAGGAGGTCAAAACATTCTGTACAAATGATAGAATTCCTTTCTATAACCCAAAACCACTTCTGTTGGAATCACAATAAATTATTTTATAAGCTAATGACTCATGACTGATAACATACACAGCCAAGTCTTTAGACAGCTCTTCTAGACTAAACATTTACCTTTTTACATACCTGTTATACTAATCTATAGGCTGAAACCCAGTAATCATTTTTTACCTCTACCATTTTATAAGTTGCAGAGAAGTTCATAAAGTTTAGGCAGAATAACATCAAACATTCTGCTTGAAAAGAATACTAGTGTACTGAAAGACATTTGGTGCTTCGCAGAACATATACAAAAGTAGTCTGTCTGTTCAGTTTATATTCACCATTTTATTTATTTATTTTACACTCAGCAGCACTATGCCACATTCTTCTCTCCCGTTGGAGTTGAACATTGTTAACGACAACCAGACTCCTCAACAGTGAAAGAGTCGCATAATACCCACCACAGTCTAGGATTATAGTTACCTTGAGGTAAAATGAGCAACCTATAAATGTTATAAATAATGAGTTATACTAGCATTAGAGGTCAATGGGTGCTCAGATGCTCAGAGAGTCTGTGCAGTTTAAGGAGAGCCATGCTTTGGGGATTAGCTTGCATTTCTCATCTGGAATCCCTGAAACCTTGCGAACTAACAGCAAAGGCTGTATAGGTTTAAATGAAGATGTTTCAAACAAGAAAATGATTCCCAAAGCCAAAATTGTCCATTACAAATACATACTGTACATACTTAAAAACAAAAGTTATAATTTTTACCTTATTTTCTAGGGTATTTAGATAAAGCTAAATGTTTTAGCCATCTTTATTTCTAAAACTTCCACTTAATACTGGGTCAAAATATTAAGGCTATTACAGCATATACCTTTAGCAAGAAAACCTGCCCCCTCAAGAAGTAGAATAAATATATCATGAATGATGCAATATACACACTCCACTAGTAGCTCAGACATAAACAAAACCTTCCTGAGTTAGAGCTAGGCTAAAAGGAATTTGACTTCAACAAATACTTACAATGATCCCAGCTGTCCAGGGGTTCAGAAGAATGAGGGCACACACCAGAAATGTGCAGGCCAGAACCACGCTAATGGATAAGAGGAGCCAATGACGAAGGCTTATATATTGTTCCCAAAAGAGAAATGGATATCCATTTGGATAACTGGGAATGCCAAGGCTAGTATAATTATTGCAGATTGCTCTCACTTTCTCTATTGCTTCCACAAAATCAGAAGTATCGCGCAGTCCATTGAGGTAGAAAGGAAATTGAGCATATTCAATAGGCTCAGCTTCTGGGACTAAGGAAAGGAGGGGAAAGGACAATAAATATAAATATTTTATACATACACATGGAAAGAATCTGAATGTAGAAGGAAAAAGATGAGTGTGATTGTTTAGATGTCCTGTGTTAGCATAGTAGTGCGTAGTAGCATAGTGTAGTAATTTACATTTAAATATGACTTTGGATACACCGTGAAATGCCACACATACAGTTCTCTGAATAACAAAAAGGCACAGGGTATGTCAGATTTCATTCATGCATGCCTCCATTGGATTCTATGCAGTGTATATTTGAATGCTACAAAGAAATCCTGAAAAAAACATTCTAAAGAGAAAATAGCAGCGGTATTCTAAAACCACTAATTTTTTTGGGCTGGAGTCCTCGTTGTCTCAAAACAGAAAAAAAAATCCTTCAGAATTGACTTTTTTTTATTATCACACAGTAGATTTTTGTAACATTACTGCACATTGTAGGGAATTTCAGAGTAGTTGGTAAGTTTGTCCATCGTAAAAGCAAAGATAAACTAACATATTTTCCGTGGGTTAATTTTATGTGAACCAGATCATGAAAGTTGATGCTCTAATGCATTTTGGCCTTTATGATTCTATAAGATTGTCTGTCATTGTTTTAACTAATTAATTCTGTACCCATATTCTAAACTTCTCCTATTAACCTGGAACAAGTTATATTATAAAAGTACCCACATTGTTTACAAACTGTCAAAGCATAAAATACTTCTATTTAAAGTATTTTAGATAGGAAGCCGAACTACTAGGATGGAAAGGATTTGAAAATATCCAACTTAATCTATTTTGTTTCACAATTTGCTATCAGCCAACATTAAGCCACGTTAAGTAGCAACCTCACAAGTATTTGCAGATTAAATTATGTTTAATATTTGGACTGAGGGAATTACAAAATCTCAAGTACCTTTATACCATTCTGATATAAGGGTAATACTTCTGAAATCCTTGTATTGCTGACAGCACTATAATCCCAACAATTTACAACGAAGCAGTGAATAGGGCCAGGATTATCAGTTAAATATTTTGAATGCTAAAATTAGCCAGTACTGTACATTTGTTACATTTTCTCTGGCTATTGAAAATAACCTTGAGAGTCAGTCAAAGAAAGATTAAATACTTCAAGTAGTTAATTCAGGAAATACATAATTTTTTATCCTTTAATGACATGGCATATCTACATTTTTCATGCTCTTTTTGAAAGCAATGCTAAGTCCACCATACAACCCATTCTTTTCTCCCACTAAAGAAAGCTTTTTATAACTAGCTTTGGAGCAAACTAGCTGTGTGTTCCTGACTCTGCAGGGTCATTCCCTTGACTTGCTAAACATGGTTTGCCCTATTATAATCTCAACTATAAATTTTCATTAAGACACGATTTGGCTGGGTGCCCAAGAGCTTTAGGATTGAGATAGAAGGACAATTTCCTTGTTATCCAGTTGTATTGCCGTAAATACCCCTTCACTTCTTCCTTCACGCCTGCCACCCAATAACTAGCGAGCAGCCCAACCAATAAATCAAGTGTCAAAACAACATTAAATTAGTATTGCTATTTAGAGAGGGTTGAGGAAAAATGCAAGGAAAATGGATATAGTTCTTTTAGATGTCTTCTCATCCCCACCCTTATAGTTCACAGATACAAGGTAGGTGTTAGAGAATAATCTAGTTTTCCAGAAATTCTTTGCTTGCTGACAGATTCCAAACAAACCTACAATCATTCCCAATGACAAAAAATCTGCATGGAACTAGGTGGTTTCCCTTACTTATAAAATGAGCTTGCCCTACTGAAATGAAATACTTAATGCAAGATTTAAACTTTGATATAAACTGTTAAATATTTTTTTCCAAAATGCTACTACAGTACAGCATTCTTCTACTACATTACACAACCACATCTATCTCCTGAGTTTTTACAGAATAAAGCAATATATATTATTTTGTTTATAATCAGAGTCCTGGAAAATGTCAGTGGACTTAAAAGCTGCTAAGCCTGGAAGGAAAAGCAGAGACATTTGAATAAATAGCAAGATATTATAATAAAAGGTTCCTTACTGGTTACTGGCATATAGTCTGCTTTATCATGGACCCATTCTGGACGGTGGGGCCGGATGTTGGCTTGAGAGGCGGCATAGGCCACAGGATCATTGCTAACCCAGGCTGTTAGGTACATGTAGAAGGCCTTTGGGTTAATGATTCCATCTGCATCCACCAAGCGCTGTTTAGCCAACTGAAAAATGCAAAGTCTTTCAGAATCACTCTTGCTCAAATCTTTAACACAAAAAGGCTGAGGCACACAGCAGATGAGAGCACACAGAACATATGTTTGTGAGAAACATATTTTTATAGAGAGACCACAAGCATATTATTCCCAGCATGGGAGATATTTTGTATCCAGATTTTTCAAACTGCTTGGAATGGTGTAAAACGCTTTGCGTGCAATTCGTCAGAAACATTAAATCAAAAGAAGGTTCCAGATGAATACTGAGCCAATTAAGCCTAAATTCTCATACACAGTCTGCAGCCAAGAGGGGCAAATGACCAAACTGCCAAGAAATATATTTAAAGGTGGTTTTGAGAAAAGGGAAGGAAAAAAAAATCTGGCAAGAGTCCTGCAGACGTCTGTGTGCAGTTAACCTCTGTTGTTAACACTGAAGGAAATGCCACCCAGTAAATGGAGGAGAGCTATAAAAATAAAACAACATCTGTACAAATTTTGCTAACGCTTGTCTCCTATGACCTACATATTTAGAAGATACCCAGCATCAAAAACCAGATGAATGTATCCTGAATATTCTCTTCAGGGGGACAAATAGGCAAATGAATTGACCAAAATCTACTTTGTTAAACTACAAAAATTGTGATATTCAGTAGTGCTAGAAAAGAAAGGGGCTTTTTGGTTTGTTCTTCATTCTGCCACAACTTTCATTTTTAAGGCTTTCTAATTATTTGAAAGAATAGTGGCAACAATGCTTTTTAAAAAAGTTAGAATCTAGAATCAATTAACCCACCAACTTTATGTCTTCAAATTGTTTCTAGACTTGCAGAATAAAATTCATGGGTCCTGAGGTTCTCATAGAACAATTTTATCTCTCTCAGGCAGAGGAAATTATATCGCGAGCCACAGGCCTACCAAATTTGTTATACTGGTATTTTAAGTTTTAAGAGTCATTTGGAATTCTTTAATTTCATTTTATGTCCCCGTTCTGCCTCCTTCTTCTGATGGATTTCTTGATGAAGGCTGACACACTAATAACATAAATATACAAAATGCCCATTTTAAAAATGTCAGATGCCAATCATCATTATCATCATCATCTAATTTGTGGCAGGAAAGATTTAATTTTATCCTATGCAGTAAAATATACTGTCCTTATTGGCAGAATTCTGCTTTCCACTGTTTACTGGGAACTCAGAGGAGAAAGGGACAATAAGAACTAACCTATTTCAGTGTGTGGGAAGACTGACAAGAGAAAGATAATCCTTTTTTTAACGACCCTATAATCCCTTGCAGGGTGGAGTCTGGGCAACTGAATGGAGCTGAGTGTTTACTGGCCAGATGCCCTTCCTGTTGCCAATGTGGAGGTTTTTTTCCAGCAGATATATTCTCAGTCTGCCCAGAAAGAGAAATAGCTGCCTCTACCAAGGATCGAACTCACAGCCTCCTGATTGTGAGGCAAGAGCTCCACCTCTAGCACTACTTGACAAGAGATATACTTTGGATAATCTGAGCCTAGCCTTTCAAGGTTGAAAATTACAACTCCTGCCCAGAGAAGAAAAAAGAAAGAAAAAGAAAAACAAGGAAGTCCAGTTACCTCTTGAAAAAGCACCTTTGGGTCCTGCCCAAAAAAGCAAACTTAGGAAAAACTTTTGGGTTTGATGTAAAATGTACACATTGAATCATTCCAATAATTGCGCAGCTACATTCTGAACTAATTGTAATTTCTGAACAGATTTGCAAAGGAAAACAAATATAAAATGCACCCCAGGAATCTACCTTAGAAGTTACTCCCCTTAAGAAATGCTCTAGCTAGCCAGTAAATCAGCCTAAGCTGCCAACAAGCAAGTCTAGCTATGGCAACTATCCTGAGTCCCAACAATAAATCTTCCCACAGCAGCTGTGCTCTGCTTCTTGGAGAATGTGACTCATCCTCAACAAAAGAAGTACACCTTTTGGTTGGGTTCCTGTCTTTAAAACAGGGTTGTCTAACCTTGGCAACTTTAAAGACTTGTGGACTTCAATTCCCAAGCATCTGTTCAGAACTTTCAGAGCTTTACATGATTCCGGTCTAAAGAAGAAACAGATCTGTATCCTTGGTGTACTCATAATCAGAGAACGTTAGACAATACCCAATATCTTCATGAATATTATGAAAAGCACACAAGTCTAAATCACACTGTGCAAAACTCCAGAATCAAGTCATTTAAGACAAGAGAAACATTTTCTTTGGATTTTTCCCAACAGTTAGGAGCAAACTCACCATAACAGAGTAGCTATGGCTCTTGGCCTAGTGAAGGCCTCAAAAAAGGCTATCCTAGCACCCAAGACAACTAAAAAATGTAGAGAAATATTAGAATTATATTCTGATTCCTATTAAGTGATGAGCAGGCTAGGATCCATGCTATTGCTGATAACTTAAGAAACTCTAGAGCTCCACAGCTCCAATCTACTTTCTAGAAAAATATATCCAAAACCTGTGCAGTCATTATTCAGGGTGAAAGGATTCCTGTGTGCATTTTTTTCAGAGATTTCAAATTTGCTTTCCTTCAGGAGGCAATAACAAATAGCACAAATGCTATTAACTCATCATCAAACTAGTCCGTTTAAGGTAGCTGCATACCACTTAGGCAAAGGATAGAATAAGATTTTATATGGTGAAAGGAAGAAAACGAGGGAGAAGGTAATGTGGTTCATTGCCAATATAACATAACATCCAGGAGGGGGAATAGTATTTATTGCTCCACTGTGGTTCCTGGGAGGCTGCCCAGAGCCTGAAGCTGAATACAGCCAATCCCAAAGGTCAAGAAGCAAGCATACCAGTCATCAGCCGGATGTTTTCAACAATTCTGAGCACATTTTCAGCTCAGTATAGTCAACTGAAATCAACTGGAACTCATTCTAGCAATTGCTAGTTGTGAGCACATGCATATTGACATTGGTTAAACAGCCAATTTATCTTAAGCTTATTTCTACCATTGTTCATTACTTCTTTTGCTTTTGGTGTGTTAAAATTACCGAGCAAATACAGGGATCTTATAAAAATGGGAGCAGCTCAGAGCTATTGTCTTCCAAGTTCATTAAAGTTTTAAGAGTAAATGAGTTCATGAATAAAGAAACATTTGCACTGTCCCATTTGAAACCACAGACATACGACTGTATTTTTGAACATACCTGGCTCATGTTAAGGGGTTTATCTCGGATGTTTGAAATAGTCTGAACTAGAAGTTTGTAAGCCAAAACAGCGTCTTCAGATCCATTTTTGTAACTCTGAAGGGTGATCTTCCCAGATTTCCAGTCTTTGTCAAAAGCTTCTTGAAGACCTGTTGGAAGGCAACACTCCCACTGGTTAATAAATCCTCATCTACCCAGCTCAAAATGGAAGAGAGACAGGAGACTAACAAGACTTTTTTTCCCAACTAATAAAGAAAGGGTTTCAGGACTCCAAGGTTTTCGGCTCTTGAGTAAGTGCTGACAAGACTTGTGAAACGTTGCCATTACTTTCCTAGTGTTCTTTTTGCCTCTTAGTTCTGTCTGTTCCAGTATCTCCCCATAGCCCTGTAACAAGAAGAGTCTGGCTGGAGAACTGTCACCTGCCTCCCAAGCAGATGTTTGGGAGGGAGCCCTAAACTTGAGACACTGGCCTCCCAGAAGTGCAGGCCTTGCATAGCTTGCCTTCGCCATCTTCCAACTTGTCTATGGAAGGCTGCCAGGCCAGGGTTCCAGACAGACCTCCTGCTGTCTCAAAACTAGCCCAATTCTCCCACACCCACTTAGCTAAACTTCTCCACACGTGAAAACATTGACATCATAACACTACTGTGTGTGTGTGTGTGGCTGAACACATGGCTTGTATATAACAAAACAAGCTTTGCAGGCACTTCATGCGTGCAAGATTTACTCTGGCACTCGAGCTCACTTCAGCTATGCAGTATTTCAAATTTGATCTGTAAAAGGCACTTCAGAGCATATGGGAATGCAAAAATGCAGCAGCCCCCAAACCAGCCAGATGCTTTAATGTGTTGCAATAGGTGTTATGTTCATGTACCTATCTTCTCCAAAACATTTCTTGGAGATCAGATATGAAGGACTGCTCAGTCTTAATGTTTATGCGTAGAGGAAGATAATGTATACAACCAATACAGGTTTGGTAAAACATTTCTTTTAAGCTTAAAAAAAGTCTCCATGTTTTGTGACAGAACTCCGATGAGCAGGGTTACTATCTGTACGGTGTGCTAATAAGAAATGAGAACACACACACAGTAAAGAACCGGACTTGAAAACTACAATGAAAGACGTAAGCAGCAAGTAACTTGCAAACAAAACGCTAAGAGGGAAAATTCATTGCTTCATTTAAATACAATCCAGGTACTGAGCCAAAAAACTGTAATAACAAAATCAGAAATGGGGCCATTATCTGAAAAAAAAGTTTTATCCATTCATAACCCTAAAAGGAATTACACAACGGGGAGGAGACACAAAGGACTTTAGTTGTTTCGGCTACCACTAGATGCTGAAGCCATAGGTTATACAACAACATGACCAGAAATTCCACCGCGAAGCTGGAGGAAAAAGAAACTCACACCGCACCATTCAAACTTCAAACAGCAACCCAGCTCCTGCTTGAGCACAGCATGAGTGAACATGATTTTGTCAATTTGTTCCATCTGTTCAACTTGTGGAGCTAATACAAGTTGTGGGATCTGCTGCCAGCACGTGTAAAGATCACAGCCAACACCTATTCACTCTCAACTGTTCTTTTCCTCTTTGCCACCCCTTCCAAGGGAGAGGTTGAGGGGAAAAAAATACCTCACAGAGCAAATTTGGATCAGATTTAGAATAGGAAGCCACAGCCCGGCGCAAGGAGGCTATGTGAGAACAGATGAACCAACCGCATGTCTAAAGCAGAGAAGGGAAGGGTGGGAGGGATCCACCAACCCACCTCACAGCTGCACTGGGAGGCTGTTATCAAAACCATCCTTACAGAACTGATAGGTTAGCCATAGCTACAAAGAGGGAAGAAACTCTGAAAGAAGAACAGAGTCTGAATGACACAACCATGGGTACTCATTCTTGTTTGCAATCTCTTTCTCTGTTTCCTGTAGAGAAGGGTGTCCAACCTTGACAACTTTAAGACTTGTGGACTTCAACTCCCAGAATTCTACAGCCAGTCAAGCTGGCTAGGGAATTCTGAGAGTTGAAGACCACAAGTCTTAAAGTTGCCGAGGTTGGACACCTCTGCTTTAGAGTTTTCCACATGCAGAAATTTATAATAAAACTTTCTCTTTGACATTCGGAATAAAAACACTGAGAGGGTGCACACCTAACCAGACACAACACATACAACTTGGCTAGAGAAAGAGAGAACGGCTATTGACCCTAGTTATTTGAAATTAATTTACAAAGCTGCACCCCCCCCAAAAAAAAATACTGATATAGATATAGATATATATTGCATAATATGAATTTATCCGATTAGTGTGTAGAATATCCATCTGGCATTCCCTGAAATGTTGGTCAGAGAGAATATATATACTGTATTTCAATGCAGATTAATCGTTTCTTTTCTTAGTTAAAAGAAAGAAATAACTGAGTTATCTGCATAAAATTAGTGTAGGTGTCTCAAAAAGAATATGAGTAGTCCTTGTTGAGTGACTATAACTGGGATCTCCAACTCAGTTATTAAGCAAAGTGATCTCGAAATGAAACTGCAACTTTGCACATGATTTTATTTTTGCTTTGCTTTGCTTTGCAGACCTCAAAAAGAACTCCTCATAAATGTGAGGACTTGTTGGCAAATAAATTATACAGGACTATCTGTATAATTGGTAAAAAACTCAATTTTCATAAAAATTACACAGGAGAAAAGCATCAATTATTGTTACGATCAGGGGTGGGATTCAAATTTCTTAACAACCGGTTCTGTGAATATGGCCTAATTTGTGGGTGTGGCTTGGTGGTCATGTGACTGGGTGGGCGTGGCTTGTTGACTGGGCAAGGCTTGGTGATCATGTGACTTGGTGGGCATGGCTTGTATATAATTATTATAAATATTTATGTAAATATTTATTTATTTTATTTAAAAAGAGCAACTTTTACCCAAAACAGGCAAAGCAGGCAGGCAGATTGAGTTGCTCACAGAATCACTTAGAGATCTATCTATCTGCAATCGGTTATCTGAGTCTGTCACATAAAATTTGCTAGCAAGCAAACTCACAAAATTAACTCAGAACATACCATGTATGTACATATTGAATTTTTTACTAAAAAAAGAGCAACTTTTACCCCAAAGCAGGCAGGCAGATTGAGTTGCTCACAGAATCACAGATTAACTAAGAGATCTATCTATCTGCAATCGGCTACTTGAGTCTGCACTGAAAAGATTCAGTCCTGAAGAAGGTTCGGCTCAGCTTTTAGATTAGCCAGAAAGCAAGAAATCCAAGGATTTCCTGGTTTCTAGCTAATCTAAATCTCCTGGCAGAGCAGAACAACTAATGGTTGGGGGGTTCGCATGCCAGGTAAGGAATGAGTGGACAGGGAGGGGCTGGGCCAGCCAGTGGAGCGATTTGCTGGTTCTTCGAACTGGGGACAATCGTGTGTGCAGTGTTTGCAAGAAATCATTAGCTCTGCTGCCTGGACAGCTGACAAGCACTCTGCTCCAGTGCGCAGCGTTTGAAAATCCTCTTGTTTTCTGCTTTTTCAACCTCAGCTGTGCCAAGCAAAGCAACCGAGGAAGGAAAAGCAGAGAATAAAGGACAGCCTAGAGCCTGGGCAGGCGGGTGGGCCAAACACCAAACCAATTCGGTGTCAGCTGTTCTTCGCAGCTACAGGTTCTATAAAATCGGGCCGAACCAGTAGCATCCCACCCCTGGTTATGATCCATCCATAGCCAAGTACATTAGCAAGAAAGATATATTTATTGCTGTTTGGTTTTACCTTGCAGCCAATCTCTAAAATAATGCAACCACATTTTAGGAAGTTGCTTGTTTTCCTCCAATAAGACGTAGGTCACATTGCTGAAGCTTCTGTGAAGTTCATAAAGTAACTGTTGGATGTTGGGATAATCCGCTTTCTGGGTAACAATATACATGTGGTAAAATGAGAAGTATTTGAACTGGGCTGCAATGAATTCATACTCTCGAGTTTCCCGTGGTACAATGTCTGTGAGATCCAATCCATCTCTCACACGAGTCGTTCCATAAAGACTGAGGCCAAGTAAGCCCAGAAAAAGACAAATGACCATAATCTGTGGGGGGAAAAACGCAGGAAAAAAAGCATGTATAAGTAAATGGCTTTTAACATTTAAAAACCATGGTCTACAAAAGCTACAAAAGGATGCATATGGAACCATTTAACGTTATAACCTATGACTTCTATAAGGACTATGTGGTTTCTCAGGTTTCATAAACTATTTTCAGCAGAGCCAATATATTCATTGACTGAGCTGACAAAATTGTACCAACAAGCAAATTGTAGTTTGCTGAGTTTAGGCTTAGCATGTTGCATGCAGCTAGCTGTGGTAGATTATAAATCATGCATCAGCCCAATATGTGAGCCCAGCAATTAATGGGTTATTTAACAAACCATAGTTAGAACAATGGTTCAACGTGATGCATGATTCCACCAATGTTTAGCATAGCATTCTTAATCTAGTGCCACTCACATATGTTGACCTAATTAATAGTCTCTGCGTATTTTTAATAGCCTAATGGCAGCCATGTTGTTTGTAAAAGTATTCAAACTGAGCTAAGATTCAGCAACACCTGGGACAACTGCTTCATTTACATGCCCAAATCCTTATCAATACAGTACCAGAGACATCAGAATGGCAGTCACAACTGCACAATCAAATCCCTGCCTCCTTTACATGCATTGTGTGAACAAGATATATAAAAAGGGAACAAGGTTTTCATAACATTATCATGGTCTCAATTTTGACTTTGATTCCTTGCCTTCAGGTGTTCCTCCTGCTCCTATAGTTACTCATTTTCAATCCAGAGCCTTAAGGAATCTTAATGGTTTGGTCAAATGTTTCGACAGGAGAAATTGAAATGGCAACAATAATGCGAAAGTTGAGATACAACTTCCTAGGAAGGAAAAGCATCCTAAGGATCTAGAACCACAAATGATCAAGCCATGTGTCTGACATCTACACATACTGTACAGGTAGTCCTTGACTTACAACAGTTCTTTTAGCGACCATTTGACTACACCAGCACTGGAAAAAGTGACTTATGACCATTTTTCACACTTATGACCGTTGTAGCATCCCCATGATCACATGATCAAAATTTGGCCACTTGGCAACTGACTCATATTTATGAAGGTTGGTGTCCCGGGTTGTGTGATCACTTTTTGTGACCTTCTCACAAGTGAAGTCAATGGGGAAGCCAGATTCACTTAACAACCATGTTACTAACTTGACAACTGTGGTGATTCACTTAACAACAGGTTATCTGAGAGACAGTCTCTTGCTGGTCACATCTACCCAACCTCCTAGAGTGGGGAAGCAAGGAATGTTGTGGGTCCCGCCCCCTAAGGTGATACACCTAGTGGGACCCAGAAGAAGGGCCTTCTCTGTGGTGGCTTCCTCTCTCTGGAACATCATCCCAGAGATTAGACTGGTCTCCATTCTAACACTCTTTCGGAAGGCCCTAAAGACATGGTTCTGTCAGTGGGCCTGCAGAACCCAGAGAGGGATGAAGCCCATTAAATGGCTAGTATGAACATAGTTCTCGCCAGGGTGGGGAGTTGTTCTTTTATTATTTTTCTTTTTAGTATTTTTATTTCTTTTATATGCTATTTTTATACCTTTGTAAGCCGCCTTGGTCACCATGTCCAACTAGATGGCAATATATATTTTCTAAATAAATAAATAAACTGTGGCAAGAATAGTCATAAAATGGGGTAAAACTCAACTACCTTGTTTAGCAACAGGAATTTTGGGTTTGATTGTGGTCATAAGTCAAGGACTACCTGTATCTGAAGGAGAAGGGGGTAAGCTTATATAAAAGCTATTTCCAGAGGTAATCCAGTGCCATTTTTAAAACTGAAGGATCTGTATATGAAGGCAGAATCCAGCATTAATGTTAGATACTTAGAGGTCTCTCTAGATTTTCAAGGATGGCCAATATATTTTAATTGTGACCACAAAAAATAAGACTAATCAACCAACATTACCTTTGCTTTTGGTTTTAACAGGAGTGGCGCATACTGCTTTTCAGCAAAAGAGGAGAATGTCCATTTAGTACAGGGAGGTTCAAGACAATGCAGTGTAGTTTCAGAGAACTGAGAAAGAAGATCCCTGGTTGAACTGGTGCTTTCTGGGCTCTGGCAGCTGAGGTTATCTTGTGGCACGGTGACTGGTTGTACCGATATTTCTGACCGAGGTTCTGCTGTGGTATAATAAACCTGAGTGTGGGGGTCGTATTCAGTGCGCAGCTGGACTGTAGACTGCATGGTGATTTGAGTTTCGTGGGCAAAACTGGGACTGCCGTAGGGCGGCGGAGGGCTGTAGCGTAAGTTATCACTGGCCTCTGCATATGGCTGGGGTTCAATCTGAATGACTCTGCTGACACAGGGGCTAAAAGAAAAAGAGCAAAAGTAGATTAATGCACTGTGGTTGTGACCAGAATTGTTCTATGACGTATTATTTGTTAACATTTAATAAAGTGTTTCTGTACAAAGAAACACAACCTAGTGTTTAAGTTCCTTAATACTCTCTGTGTTTCTGAAAATATTACTGAATTAGCAAAACCACCACTGTTCTGTTTTGAAACCACACAAAATGATTAGAGAGGAGGAGTTACTGGTATATTGATTAGTATTCAATTATACCAGTTCACCCGCAGAATAAAGAAAACATACTAGACCCTCTCAAAGCCAAAACACATTATAGTTTAGTGATGTGTGAAGTGCATTTTGTGGCTGCTATTATATCTTCCTTAATGACATTGATATAATCATAAGAAACTGGTCAACCAATCTCTTCCAACCATAGAGCAGTTCGTGGCAACCAAAGGTACAATAATGCTCCAGACATTATTGCTGCTCCAGACATTATAGCCCTAGTTTTCCATTCAGCTGGAATATAAGAGATTTGAAACTGACCTCAAATTCTACCATAGAACTATAGGAATTAGTATCTCTGGCTAAAGTAGTCAGTGGTAAAGTGTCCATTTAAAATGATGTAATCTTTGTAATATTCCTTCCATCTCACCTTGTAAAGCAGCAGAATATATCCAGCCTCCGATCTTCCCGGCGGTATAGGTCCATACTCAAAATAGCAGGAAAAATTAACAGAACCATGGCAAAGTTAAATACTACAACCACAGCAGCCTGTATAATTAAAGAGAGAAAGAAGAACATCAGCAATAGGAAGGAAGGAAGGAAGGAAGGAAGGAAGGAAGGAAGGAAGGAAGGAAGGAAGGAAGGAAGGTTTATTTTTATTTAAAGTTGTATGTAACTATTGTTATTTCAACACTGGAAGTCAGGTTATAATTAGGTTTCCATATGGTAAACTTAAATATAGCAATGAAATATTAAGAATTAGATATTGTCCTAATAAGCATCATTGTCTGTGTTACCAGATCTCAAATCCATTTCTCATGGGATAAACTAGAACAAATAAAAAATAATTGACCCCCCAAAATGTGAAAATCTCTGATGTGCATATTAATTTAATTTTAGTATATTTTTTGTGTCAAAAAAGAGTAGAGTAGAGAGAGAGAAATTAGGCTCCAAGTCAAGACCCACAATGTAACCACAGAAGTGTTCTTCAGTGGAAGCTGCTTATGAGACCAATTAGCCACTACTTAGTGTTTCAAATCAGTGATCCATTCATTTAAACAGACCTTGATTTACCACACAAGGTACATGAGTCAGGACTTCAGTATCCTCTTTTGTACCTTACTAGGAAGAACTGTCAGAGAAACAAACGGCTATTTAGGCAAGATTGATATTGACAGCAGCCTGGTTTTTTTATTTAAAATATAGAAAGAAAGATTTTGCAAAGGTTAACGAGGTCCTTCACCACATTAGTATTTTTTTGTATTTTATCACACTCTTTCCCTGAAGTTTTATAGATACTTTGCACTATAATTTTTGTCTCTCCAGATTGATTCTAAATTACCAAGGAAAGCAGTATGTCAGACCATATTTTGGTACAGCCTTCAAACAAATGATTAACAATTAATGAAGGTTCACTAGTTATGAATATCAATTCAATTTCAAACATGCATACAGTATATATATCACTATCCAATATGTACCCTTTCCCCTACAGAATTCCTTTACTGGAATTTGCTCAGGAAAATAAAAAGAAGACAGACTTGCTTAGGATGATATGCATAGTAGATAGAAAAAAGATGGTTCTTTTCATTTATTTGTTATATGTATGTGTATACAGTTTCTAGGAAGTCTCCGGTCCCAGCATTGATCAGACTAAATATTTTTGATTTTTGGAAATGCATTACATTGTTTTTCAGTTCATGTCTTGGTGTCTAATAAGATATTGGCTAAGACTATATTTCAGTAACCCACACTACCTCTAATTTATGCTGCTTTCACCAATCTCATTAAGTCATCGTTTGCTTAAAACACCATTTATTATATAAACCACATTTGGCTGCATTTACAAATCACTTAGCTAAAAAGAATGAAAGAATGAGGTTCTTACAATTTATCCGGGATGCTGTGGGGAAAATACAAAGGTAGTTTATACCAGACTGAAGCACTCCCAGAACGGAGTCCCATAAAAGGGGATCCCTAAGCCTAAAAAGAAGTTGTTCCATTATCTCATGATAGGCTCAAATTACCACCAGCACCCCTTCCTCAGGTAGTTACAGCAGTTTATGAACCACTTTTTTTTTTTTTACAGAATTGACTAAAAACTACCTCACCCTTGTGTAACAGGAATAGCAAAGTTTCTTCAAGTCACCCATCGGTAAAAAGGTAAATCCGAAAGTCTCATTTTCCCTATGGAGTTCCACAGGCCTAGAGAGCAACTATATTTCTTAATCCTAAAGTGTTCTGGCTCCACTGCTCACAAAGAAAGGAAGGCTCAGTTGTCCTCGACAGCTTTAATATGCATAGAATATTCATCCCTGTTCCATCTTGCAATGTTATGTTATGATTGAAAATTGGGGGGGACGGGGGGGACGACGACATATTGGTTCTTTGGCCACTTTTCTCATGCAGCATGATTTTAGGTGCTGTGCAAACAAACTATAAAAACAATTTCAAAAACATTCTAAGAATACAAAAATGTAATATTATAATAAAAAGCTAAAAGAGGGCATCAAATTATAAACAATAGAGCCACCTAATCCAATTACCATTCCCGTATTGTTTTTGTTCCTATTTTTGAGATTAATTGCCCAGAATCTTCAGGAACTGGGTACCATCCAAGTATAATAAATATGTAAGAAATATTTAGACTATTTTATGTATAGGTTCCACACTGACACACCATCTACAAATCATTTTTTCAAAAATCTTCTGCTTTAAAACATGGTGGCTGCTGCCCTATGAATTCTCTGAAATAAAATAAGATCTGAGTTGAAGTTATTGAGAGAAGTAAAGTGAGGTCCTGACTATATATTCCAATATACTATCCCTTTCAGGCCACCCAGAGTAAGTGGGTGTATTGTTTGATAAGAGGTATTACCAATGAAGAGATCAGTTTTGCACCTTATTGCTAATCACATGCATCTCCTTCCTAATGAAATTCACAATTTTATATTTTCTTCCTCTGTCTTCCTGCCCAGCATTTGCAACCAAAATTAAAGGTATTATGACTGGGAAAAAAGAACTTAAGGAACTAGATGTAGATAGATGCAACTGTTCCAGCCTAAGCTGGGAGTAAAATGATAAATGAGTCAGTGCAGCTGGCACTGTTACTCCCACTATGTACATGTACTTAAGAGGGCACTGTGCATCATTAAGCAAGTGAAAAGGATATCTTTTTGCTTCTCTCAAAGGCTCTCGCTATAGGAAAAAGATCATGCCATCAGTTTTTTTTGTGAGTAGAGAAGCTTATGACGGAAGAAACTGCATGGTGTAAATTAAGGGCTCTTAATTGATGGTATCCATATCACAGGTAGAACTTAAGAATAAGTGAAGTGGAACACAGGGTAGGTCACTGAAACTTTAATTAAGTCTTTAAGACTTGCCATAAATGATGAGTATGGTAATAAAATACCTGTGAAAATAAAAATGTTGGGCAAGAGTTGACAGTCTCAGATCCAAGAGCCTTATGTAAGCCAAACCTTCTTTTATGGCTTCCAGAACTACTTCCAATCACTAGTGTTAAAAATTGATAGTGTGGTTTCTTATGATTTGGGAGAAAAAGCACACAGATGCTGTACTCCCCTGATGTCTGATTCTTGGAGACTGCCTGGAGCACTGCACACCAGAACAACTAGACACAAGGACAGTTTTTTCCTTAACGCCATCACTCTGCTAAACAAATAATTCCTTCAACACTGTCCAACTATTTACAAAGTCTGCACTACTATTACTATTAATCTTCTCATCACTCCTTATCACCCATCGCCTCCCACTTGTGACTGTCTGGCTGTAACTTTGTCGCTTGTATCTTTATGATTTATATTGACTGTTTCCTAGTATGATTTGATTGCTTATTGTTATTATGATTCTTGACTCTTGATGAATGTATTTTTTCTTTTATGTACACTGAGAGCATTTGCACCAAGACAAATCCCTCGTGTGTCCAATCACACTTGGCCAGTAAAGAATTCTATTCTATTCTGTTCTATTCTATAAGTCCCTGCAGGGTTTTTTTGGCAAAGTTTTTCACTGCCTCTTTCCCAAGGCTTAGAGAAAGTGATTGTCCCAAAGTTACCTCGCTGACTTTGTGCCTGTGTAGGAGAGCTAGAATTCACATTCTCCCAGTTTCAAGCCTGATGTTTTAACCACTAAATTAATTCACTGCATAAAAAAACAGATACCCAAATCCAAGCCATTTTCCATCATCTTACCCTTCAAAAACAAACAAGTAAAGCCACTGCTCATGTTTTCATTACTATGTTAAGGTCAATTGATCTCCATGATCAGGAATACCCCATTCATATACAGATCAATGAAATACAGGTAGTCCTTGACTTATGATCATAATTGAGACCAAAACTTCAGTTGCTAAGCAAGTCAGTTGTTAAGTGAATTTTGCCCCATTTTATGACTTTTCTTGCCACAGTTGATAAGTGAATCACTCCAACTGTTCAGTTAGGAAAATGGTTGTTAAGTGAATCTGTCTTCCACATTGACTTTGCTTATCAGAGGCTGAAAAAGGTGATCACATGACCCCAGGTTTTCTGTCAAAAATTTGAACCAGTTGCCAAAATGTCTGAAGTTTGATCACATAGCCAGGGAATGTTGCAACGGTTTTAAGTGTGTAAAATAGGCACAAGTCACTTTTTTCAGTGTTGTTATAACTTTGATTGGTCACTAAATGAATGATTGTAAGTCAAGGACTACCTGTAACCCTATAGCTCCCAGTATAGGGAGACATATTCTTGAAGTTGCGTTGAGGTTCTGCAATGGGATGGGATGGGATGGGGGCCAAGTTCCAAGAAGCAATACTATGGGCTCAAGAATTCTGGGAATTGAAGTCCACAGGTTGTAAGGTTGTTATAGTTGCCCACCCCTGACTTAAGACTTATGAGTATAATATCATATAGCTACAAAGAAATTTAATCTGACAAAGATATTCAAGTAACACAGGAAAGATAAAAAAATTAAGATTGTGGTTGCATTTGTGTTTGAAGCCCTGTCTCTTTTAATGTGTGTTGCCTCATACCACACACACACACACACACACCCCTCCATGGGTGACAAATAAATATGAACAAAATAAAAATAAAACTACAGAGAGAATTAATCTTCAGGCTTGACTTAGGTTCTTACCCTATCAAGAAGTCATGTATTCCTTTCTCAGCATTTGGGTTATTTTACCAATATTGAGCCTCACAAACCAAGAGGCTTTGATTGTTATCTTTTAGTGTCTCGGGGAAAGCGAAAAAAGAGAGAAGAAGGTTAAAGAAACTTTCTGTTTAAGCCCATCTGATATAGAACTTTTATATAGAGAAACAGCTATAAACATTACTGAAAAGAAAAGCAACAGTGTTGTTACATTGCTATGCTTTCTTAACTTGGCTGTGGAGGATTTCCTGGACAGACAGGAATTCTTCATAAAATAAATTTTTGTCTTTAAATGACCAAAGGCAGGGTGGAGAACTGTTTAAGAGCAGAAAATTCCACATTTTTAAACAGACCACCCAAAAGTAACTTGCATTGCCCTTTGATTCTGAATGCCACAGTATGCACCATCTGAATTTTACCATAGCTAGTAAAATATGAAGTAAAACAAACACCAAATGTATACAAGAAAATAAATAGCAACTGCTAACAAGGAAAAAAATAGCTTTCCTTTCCTTGTGCAATACAAAATATATATTTAGTGGACAGCACTGAAACTGGTTTCTCTTATGAAACTGCACGATTGGTAGACAAAACATTTGAGTGAATAAATCTGGTTCAGAAGTGATCATAAGAAAAAAAATGCTGTATTCAAATCCGCCTCACCTGAAAATTCCACAAGAGTTGCAATAAGCATATTTTTAATGACTGATGAATCAAGCAAGAGAAAAGTGACTCCTGAGAAAATGCAAGTGCCAAATCTCTACTAAGGTTGGAATCTGCTATCAACTGTCTTTCTGCTAGAGCAGAGGTGTGAAACTCGATTTCATTGAGGGCCACATCAGGGTTGTGTTTGACCTCGGGTGGGGTGGGGGGACAGGGTGGGTGTGGCCAGCTCGACATCATTCGTGTCAGGGGCACCTAACCAGATCTAAGCACTCCGTGGGTCAAAGCCGGCCCACAGGCCTTGGGTTTGACACTCCTGTGCTACAGCATTATCTTTGGGGTGGAAATCACAATTTTAACTATAAAATAGAAAAAGTAATGTAGGTGCAGAGAGAGAGAGAGAGAGAAGGAGGAGGGAGGGAGGGAAAATGAGAGCAGGGTGCATGTGATAGCATTTTGCAAAGATATTGGTTATGATCCAGAATATTAAATCCACATAAGCTGGGCTCTATATTATCAGTTCATGTAAGAAAAACAATTTTGTTAGCTCATGGATATCAGTCTATATAAGTCACAGAAAACAGATATGGGTTATGAAACTAAATGCATTTTTAATCAAGAATTACAAGGTTATCCACAGCACCAGGGAATTAATCTAATCCCAGAAAGGAGAAAGCCCCAATGGAAGGCCTTCCCCCACCCCTGCTTTTATGTCATAAATGCCAAATCAGAGACTGTTCATCTGATTATAATTAAGTCTTATGTCAGTTGTCACTGTAGAGAGATATGGAAGAAAAGTATGAATAGAAAGTTATGTGAGTGCACATGTGTTTTCCCAGCCTATCCTACTTATACAAATATGAGGAGAACCACAAGAGAAGAGAGTGGCCTGGGTGAGCAAAATCCCTCTGACAAGAACAGAGTAAAATATGAGCTGCCATTTATAGTAAGTAACTAGACAACCTGGAACCCCTTAGGTCATCATTTCAGAGATGTTTTATTTATTTATTCTTGTATTTATCTATCTTAATTTATATAGCGGCCCATCTGATAGAATAAGCAACTCTTGGCTGCTTACAGGTTAAAATTGGATTGGTAGCCTGGCATGAGGGGGGTGAGGGAAGAGGCAATGGGTTTGTGTGCACTCACAGCTTTATTTGTGCAAGCGGGGGTGCGTAGACCTGCTGCTCACACAAGCAGAACTGCAAGTCCCAGTACCTGCTGCTCTCATGAGTGGGGCTATGAGTTCCAGCTCTTGTGTGAGTGCGCCAATGCCTAGCTGCTTGCATGAGTGGGGCTGCGAGCCTGGTGCCCGCTGCTCACACAAGTTGGGTTGTGAATCTGGCACCCCCACCACTCACACAAGCGAGGGTGCTTGCACCAACGCATGCTGCTCGCATGAGTCACAATGTGTGCCTGCCAGCCCACGTGGCCTGGTTGCAAATAGGTCATGGCCATGGCCCACAGCTTGGGGACCTCTGTTCTAGACACTGAAATAAGAAGTACAAAATATATCATTTAATTCACTAGGGGCTCAGATGTAGAATTGGATATCATCAGCATACTCACTACACATTTCCTTACCTAAGCAGAGAAACAGAATGACCAAGTTTTTTTAACAAAAACAATATGAGTGGGAATGAATTCCAGCTGGCTTCCCATTGGCTTTACTTGTGGGAAGCTGTTAGGGTTAGGATTAGAAATGATGATCCTATGACTACAGCTGTCCATGGCAATGTGGCAGCATGGCAGCCTTGAAGCTGCCACAACTTTGCCGAATTCCAGTCCCACAGGAGTTAAGAGTCCTGGATTTTGGATGCATTATTTAAGTTTGAGGTACATTGAATCAAACATTGTTGCTCTATGATACACCATTTTGCCCTTTTGTGTATCTACCTACCACTCGGGATCTAAGCAGAAAACAAAAGCCACATCTGAAAGTATTGTTACTGAATATAGACACAATTAAATCATATAATTAAATGGCTCTCAAAGGTCTTTAGACAGACCCTTTGCCCATTTAGGAAATCTACTGCTACCACCTTTCCAACAGTTTCCTAACTAGTCTATCTATGTAGAAAAATGCATTTCCTTCTGAGGCAGTCTTTTTTTCCTGTTAAAACACTCATTTCAAAGGTTAGGTCAAAATCTTGTTTCTTTAATTCAAGGAATTTGGATTTGCAACTACTGATTTGTATCCTACTCACTAGACTAAATCAAAGGGAAGAAATGAGCTTTATTGCACATAATCTCCATCGTTTCTATCCTTTCAAATATTTGAGCAGGGATCTTTGACATAAATAAAAATATTGAAAAATATGTACACATATTCTTCATGTCTTTTATATGTAAGTAATGTTATTCAATTTGTTTTTTAATTGTAAAATACCGCCGAGGCCTTCAGGGTAGAAAGCTGGAGGTTTTGACACTGCTTTCATAGAAATCCTCTGGATCTTCACACACATCATTTCCTGTCCTGAGTTGGGGTATTTGATTAATATTTGCTTTTGCCACCACTTATCTTTTGCAGGTGGCCTCATCTGATGCATATCTCATATCCTCTCACATCTCATGCTGGTCTTCTGATGATTAAATCTCAAAATACAAAAATAACCTCTGCCACCTTCTGGCTATGTAGTATAGTGGCATGGTGATTAGAGTATCTGGTGCTACTTTCCATCTCATCAGAGACATAGCAATCTCACCGGGTAAACAAAACAAAATTTTATTTAAAAAAAGAAAATGCAAAATAATTACCCCTTTAATTTTTATTAAATTTTAAAATGCAAACATTCAAGTGAAGAGAACTGGTCACACACTGATTTATCAATCAGCAAAAGAAAAAGGAGGAAGATTTAAAATAAAATATAATGCTTTTTATAGACCACTGAGGGAATCTGCCACAAATGCGATACTCACTACCAAAATCTCTGACAAGATAGCAGAGTTTTCAAATTATTATCAGAGACCACAAGAAATTCTAAATAGAATTTCTATCTTTATGAACACAGCCTGAGATCTGATTGAGAATTCAGATTAAACATTCCATTTTGCAGTTGGTATAGAGACATAGAAAACCTGAGATTTAACAAAACTCAACATACAGAAGTAAGCATAAATCTTGCACAAATCCCTGGCTGGACACCAAGAATCATTGATTGAGATGGGTGGCTATAGAAATTGAATAAAATAAACAAATAAATATTATAGCTATTTCTACAAAATCCAAAGACTCCTGAAATAATTATTCCTCTGCTTTAATTAGCTACATTTCTCAGCTTTTGGAGATTCCAATTAATTAATCAGAAGATACTGGGGAGAAAGAAACCCCCACTTTCAGTGAATCTAAAGCAGGGCTGTCAAACTTGTGGCCCACAGGCCAGATACATCACGCGCTGGCCACGCCCATGCCCAGTTTAGCAAAGGGTGAAAAAGTCACGATATGTCACATGACGACACCATGACAACATGAGTTTGACACCCCTGGTCTATGGAATTCTGCCACAGAGTTCTTTATTTTAATAAAACAAAGCCTTTTTAATAAAGAGGAAAAAAGAACCAGACTAAGTTCAATATAAAAGTATACATGATGCACAAAAACCTTTCACTTACAGAGATGTGGACTGTGCATCTGAATTTGTCATGCAGGATACATACACAACAGAAACACATTTAGAGAATTTATCAAAATATAGTGTCTTTGTCCTACTTTGCCTGTCATTTGTGTTATAACAATAATTCTACAACTTCCAGTTCCATTCCATCAAATTAATGCTATTTTCCTTTTTTAGTCCAATACATATTTCCAAATATTGTGGCTAGGAATTCGCAGCCACAAGGCAACCATACAGCAAAAGTTTGCTAACATGTCCATGTTCAACTCACAGTTTCTACTCTGTGTATCAGATTTTTTGAGAATTAGGAATCAAAAATCACATGAAGATAACTGCAGTTTCAAGTCAACCATACTCATGAAAAGAAGTACATCTAAAATTAAGCAAGCAAACTTTCCCCAAACTGTTGCCCTCTGAAAATGTGCTGAAAATGCTTCAGATAGGAAAGTCAGTGCAGACCTTGTTGTCAACATATCACTTTGTTCCCTGAAGAACCATTTTCTAATTGGGAATTTGTGCCCTCACCCAATCCAAACACTATGCCCTGGGCCAGCTTTCCCCACCAGCCCTCCCCAGTTGTGTTAAATGTGAAGAGCTTCATCTCTGGACCTTATCGAGAAATAATGAATTAAATGTTGTTTAATTTTACTTGAAGAACTTACTTGGAGTGAAAATGCCCGTAGAGCTGGAATGGGAATTAAGGCAGCCATGAAGAATGCAGTAACATTGCTAATAGACGTAAGGGCCACGCTTGCACCCGTGCGTTTCAGACATTCCCCTGTTCTATCCTGAAATATACAGACATATGTGGAATTAATTTGCAATTACATAGCGCATAATCTACAAAATTACAGTGTAATAGAGAAATAGATATTGAACAGAATTTACAGGCTGCTCTGGGTGGTTCAAAGCAAATAAAAACAAGGTTAAAATAACCATAAGAACATCACACTTTAAGGCTCAAAATTACCCATTTAGCAACAACCTTGTATCCTCTACGTTCTACAAATTTGACAGAAGAGAACTAGCCATTTTTAATGATTAGCAGGGAGGCTTTTCTTTGGGTGTTTTTTTTTTGGGGGGGGGGAAAGTCATATAATTTTTATGTCATACATAAACTGTTTTATAAAATTTGTCAAATTTCAATTCCACAGGAGTCATGGGTCTCAGATTTTGGACACATTCTGTAAGTTAATCCAGGTAAGGTATCTTGGTTTAAAATATTTTTATTAGATTTTTATTCCCACCTTTATTACTTTTTAAGTAACTCAAGGCAGGGAACATACATAATGCTCCATCCACTTCCTATTTTCCTCACAACTACAATCATGTGAGGTGGATTGGCCTGAGAAAGGGTGTCAGGTCCAAAACGTATGCCGTTTTGCCCAATTAAAGGTTATGGAAATGAGAGTTTTAATAGTATATAGATACTTTCGCATCTAACTCGACTGCATAATAGAAGTGGAAAACTAAATGGAAAGTTTCTACAAACAACTTTCTTCTTAATTTCCAAAACAGACTGTAGAAGAAATAGCCTGATTTCGGTATGTAAACAGTTCTCAAAAAACTTGGGAGAATGATTGAGATTTTGATTCAAATTCAAATAACTTCTTTGAAGAATAACATCTACTTTGGCAAATAATCACAAACTATATAATATAATCATCATTTCATTCCTCTAAAATAACATACCAATAATATTTCCAGATTATTCTGCTGGGGGGGGGGAGGCATTAATCATATATATATACACACACACATCTCTGCTGATAATGCCAATTGAGTTACTGATTGTCCAAAAGTTTGAGAAAATTTGGAAAACTATTTGACAGTCTCTGGTCATCTATAGTACTATTAGTTTACTCTGCATAGTTCTAAGATAAATAAACTGGAGTAACATAAGAAATGATTTATGTTGTCAGCTGCTAATTAAAAAACTAAAGTGTAGATTTAGTGAGCTTTCTGAATGCTTAATGTAACGTAATAAATATCTGAATTTACCTCAAATGGAATTCTCTTATTCTGCCCAGTTTCACTAAATGCATGTGCCAAAAGGAAGACATCATCTACCCCAACTCCAAGAGCAAGAAAGGGTAAAACCTGCATAAAAGGAGACAGTCAGCAACAACTATTTTATATAACCAACCAAAGAACAAGTTAATGAAGTAGGACAAGGAAATGCAATCTTAGGCACTTCACTTTAGGCATAAGCAGAAATCTTAAGGCATTGTAGTTAGGAGGTCACAATTCTTTATGCACATAATTATTTATACCATTGAGTGTTTCTCTTCAGATACTGATCTCCGTTATATTGTTATGCCCAGTGGAAAGTAACAGGTTTTCATGTGGATTCATGAGAACAAAAAGCTATTTTTACAATCCAGTTAAATGAGCCACTTGCTTTGAGCAACTAATATTGAAGGATATGTATTGCAGTGTCTTTTTTTTTTCTCACTTTAGTTTTGCTGCTGTCAGAAACTGAAAGCTTTATTTTAGCAGCTCAATAACAAGCTTTGCCATCTAATTGCATAAAGGCAAATATCAACATGTACCAAATAACAGCAAATGTCTCCTTTGCAGTTAAAGGGATGAAACAACTGACCATTTGATCAGTGGCTGTAGCGAAAATTCACAAACTGACTACAAGCAGCCTTATGACCAAGTTGCCAGAATTATTCCTGGAAACTTTGCCAGAGGTTTGGATTTGAATGTAGTAAAAAATACTGGGACCTTCATATTGAAAAGGTTTTGGGAAATGAGCAGGATTAAGATATTATTGAAGTTTAAGATCCAAATAGACAGGCATCTTGTTCATAACATGCCTCATGTATAAGAGTTATTGAAAAGAAGAAAAGCAGGTTCATTGATGTTGCTATCCCAAATAATGCTAGGATTGAGGAAAAACAATTGGAAAAAAAATCAAAATACCAGGACTTGCAGATTGCAGTTGAATTTTATGGAAAAAGAAATCCTTTGTTACACCAATTGTGATTGGAGCCCTTAGAGTGATATCTAAAGCACTTTTCAATATCTGGAAATATTCAGTCCCAAATACCCACCCAGCTTAATGCTATGTACATTCTTAGACATTATCTTAATAATTCGTAGGTCTATGGTTAGGACTTTAATTATTAAGCTTCCATAGTCTTAGACTATGAATCTAATTGTTGATTACCCACACATTATAATAATTTCCTGGAGAGAAGATTTTAGCCGATTGTGTCACGGTATGCGTTTTCACAGCACGTATGTTTGCATACCCTGCCCTTGGAAACAGGGCTTATTCAAGGACAATTTGAATTTCCCGGGTCACTGAAAATTTCAGCGCAGGTCTCGAATATTCAGCCTTTCCCTCTTTACTCTGCAGTTAACAACGAGTTCCTTTCAAAAATTTCAGTGCAAATTATAAAGCCCTTTTTGTCCCTGGTTTCCTCTGACATGCCATGCCAAAACCTGCAATTCTGTTGTGTGTGTGAAATGTAAATATATATCCCATAGAACCATATGCCTTATTTAGAAGTCTTCGGGGCTTAAATAATCACAGCTATGACTGGTTTTAGGTAAACATATTAATTCAAACTTCTGAGGGTTGGCCTCTTAAAGTCCATCCTGCTCTCCCAGCCCCTCAATAGGAGACATCCCAATGCATCATTTTGAAAATGGTTTGTTTAATACCTGAGTTGTGGCAGCATTAAAGGAAATCCCAATCAAGGAACACAGTCCCAATCCGGCAGCTACTGAGAGCGCAACCAACAAGACTCCTGCCAGACCCACAGCACCCTGGGATTTAGCACAGTCCCACCTCAGCATGGTTAAGCAGGCGTAGGCAAGCTGTAAGCAGAACAAAAGAACATTTTTATCCCCCCAAATGAGGCCTGACATCAGAGAAAGCCAGTTTTATGTTTCCTTTTCCTGACCAAAATTTTCAACAACAAAATATAATTTTAATGAAACACAGATATTGGAAGGCACCGCTCAACAGTGAGATAGAGCAATGGCTTTGCTTGTCTGATCCTGTCATTAGGTCTGAATCCCACCTCCACACATCTCAAACAGACATCTCTTCAGCTCTGTAACCATTTAAGGGGAAACCACAAAGAACAACCCCGTGGCCCCATCCCAAGCCAACTTTGTGCTCACGCTAATGAGCCACAGATCTTCCAAGGATCGGAGACATAAGTGAGCAAGTGGCATAAAAATTCAGATTTTAAGGCTGTTAAAAACATTGTAAGGATGATTTCTATGACAGCTTAGCATAAAAGACTCATATAGTGATACATCATGAATTACAGATTTCTCCAGCCTGGTCTCCTTTCCAGATCTGGATGGCAGGTTCTTGAAGAAAACTGAGGAAGAATAAAATGAATATTAAATCTAATTTACCATTAATAGATAGCCGCTAGCAACTCGGATGACGCTGACATCAGAAAATGACTTTAGGATGTCCTCCAGAGTTGTTGTCGTAAATGAAAGCACCTTCTGAGTAGAGTTTTTTGCAAGACTTTGATGAGCAACCTATGAAAAGAAGACAGGGGTTGTAATTACAGAAAGGAAATCACCATGATATACAGCTAGTCCTCGACTTACAACAATTCGTTTAGTGACCGTTCAAAGTTACAACAGCACTTAAAAAAGTGATTTATGACCATTTTTCACACAACCGTTGCAGCATCGCCAATGTCCCAAGATCAAAATTCAGATGCTTGGCAACTGGTTCATATTTATAACGGTTTGCAATGTCCTGTGCTCATGTGATCAGCTTTTGCGACCTTCTGGCAAGCAAAGCCAATGGGGAATCCAGATTCACTTAACAACCAGGTTACTAACTTATCAACTGCAGTGGTTCACTTAACAACCATGGCAAGAAAAATTGTGAAATGGGGCAAACTCACTTAACAAATGTTTCACTTAGCAACATAAATTTTGGGCTGAGTTGTGGTTGTAACTCGAGGACCACCTGTCTTTCTGGAACAGATTTCTACTGAGCACTAACTTTTTAGTTGTCACCCTCACTTTATCTGTTGCTCTCCCTTCTCACTCACACACAAGGCACTCTCATCTACAAACAGTACAGTTGCATCCTTCACCCTTTGTTAACATAATTGCCATACTCAATGCGGAGCCACAGCAGGCTGCTACAGATCAAATAAGAAGGCAACACCTTGAAAGAGAGGAAAATGGCCATTTATTTAAAATAGTGAAACTGAAGAAGGCTCATAGCTCACTCAGCCCCTCCTGCACCCTTTTCTGCATTCCATCCAGAAGCCAAAACTGATTTGTTGTTATACCCAATCTAAAAACAACAAATTCTTAAGAGTAGCCCTCTCTTTTTTCATTGGCTGGACACTTCAAAGAGGTCACAAGCAGCTCAGCAAAGGTCAATGCCTGGGAAACAAAGGCCAGATAATGTCACATGACCTCACCAAGGGGACTGCAGCTGTGAATAGATTCTGTGGCGGGCTAATGTTTTCCAGACACCTTTGCTGAGGGGAAAAAGGAAAAAAAGAAAGAATCATCCTAACCAAATGCTCACTTTTTCTCCATAAGCTTTGGCAGCCCAGAGTCCGATCAGCAGCTCAAGACAATGATTTTTAAAAGCCATGAATTCTAACAAAAACACATTTCTCTTTTATTTTACCATCAGAAGAACCTGTAACGTTTCATTCAAATCCTGCTGTGAGTGGCAGATTATTTAATATATTTTCTTCATCTTTTTTTTAAAGTCCTTAGTCTTAAGAACTTTAAGAACCAGAAATGTTGGATTTCCACTTGCGTGTTTTCTAGCCAGCATACTGGCTGGTAATGACAGGGGTGGAATTCCAACACACAGTAGTATCTCCAGTCTCTAGCTTGGGGAGAAGGCTGACTATAATGGAAGAATGTATCAATCCTAACAAGATCCACTACCTCAAGGGACATCCCTGAGGGACTGCAGTGACAAGACCTAGTAGGGTTTACAATGAAAGTTGGAAAGAAACTGTTCTCCAATTAAACGTCCATTTTACCTCAACATACATCCTCTGCCATGCTTCCAGGATTGCAGCTGCCTTGTCCTCATTCCAGTTGATGTGCGAAACGTAGTCATAACCCTTGAAGTGCTCATACATTTGCTTTGGAGTCATTAGCTGAAACATGGTCTGTAAAGCCTGAGCACTGCAAGAAAGCATTGGGGACTTAGAAGGTGAAAGGGACAACCAAAAAACCTTCCCCCTCCAAAACAAAGCTGGTTTCACTACATGGTGTCACCAAGTGTATAATCTTTGCTTACGGGATGGGAATGATCTTTGCTGGATTTTTATGGAGGGCTGCTCTTATGGGCAGCAGAAGGCCAGAGTGATTAATGGTTGAACTGAGCAGAAAGCCATTTTTTCAATATATATATTTTATAATTGCTCTACACATTCTATTTAACTAAGAACCATTTACGGTGTTGTTTAAAATGGAGGGGGGAAATCTTTCCAAGCTTGACAACTTTAAGATTTGTGGACTTCACCTCCCAGAATTCTCCAGTTTCTGGGAGTTGAAGTCCACACATCTTAAAGTTGTCAAGGTCAGACATGCCGGTTATAAAACCTCTTTATCTTCTTGTATCTTGATAAAAAAAAGCTGATCCTATCAGGAAGATATAAAACCGATGCAGAGACATACAGAAAGTCTATGGAATATAGAAAGTCTATGAGCTATTGCCCAGTTTCTCTATTAAAGAGCTAATCTGATTCAGTATTCGTACGTCCAATCTCTCTGTATAAATTAAATAAGGAGCCATTCACAAGCTAGCAGAACCAACAGTCACACCTATCAAAGAAATGGTTTTGATGGCCAACAATCTGAAGAAAATGAAAGTCTTAAACTTTTTTTTTTCAAGAAGCATAAAAAATACACAAATTAATACAATTGCATCAGATGAGATGCTTCCTTATGCAATAAGATCCAACAGTTTTTATCAGTGAATAGGATTCTTATCTTCAGCCCAAAAGGGGGGGATGGGCGATCCTTTGTAACAGCATGTGATGGGACATGGGGGAGAAGTAACGAAGTCATCTCCATCCTATTCCAGAGACCAAAATCTCCAATGGATCAAATAATCATTAGTCACCAGAAGATAACCCCCACTAGGCTTACATAGGTATCCTGGCCTCCAAATGTACAACTGGAAAAAGAGTAAAACTACTAGGGCTCAAATGGAGATATACTTTGCTTAAAGCTGTTGCTCTCTGATTTAAATCGTATGCTACATGTTCTTTTTTTCTTTGGATTATATGTGTTTTGAAGGACTTCAGTTTTAATATTGTTACTGAATATTATCCCCACTATCTCATAAACAAAAATGCATTTTATAGGTATCATAAATAGTAAAACTCTCATTCAGAGTCAATTTGGTATATTATTATTGTTATCCTTGGGATGGTGACATTGCTTGATGGGTGGCATTTTTTCCTTTCGAGAGCAAGCATTGGAATTTCATTTTTTAAAAAATTTATTTTATTTTTTAAAATAAAGTTTATTTACGTTTCATATATTTAAAACATTTAAAAAACAAACAAACATAAACAAATATATGTACATATATACATTTTGCAGCAGCTTTTGAGCATTGGTTACACTTTTCTTTTCTTTTTTTCTTTTACCCCCATAACATTGACGTGATCCACCTTGTTACAATACCTTCCTCGTTCTTTTAATGTTTTAATTTCACAGAATACTTTATGATTAAACGCACGTTCTTCATAGTTTCACAACTTATTCAGTTGTCAAATGTTTTTCTTTAACCATTCATACCAACAATTCCAAACTTTATAGTATTCACTATCTATTGTTTTTTAGTAATTTGGTAAGGCTATCCATCTCTGCAAGCTCGTGAATTTTTTTAATGACCATCTCCTCTGAAGGGACAATAGACAGTTTCCAATTTTGTGCATAGCTTATTCTGGCTGCCGTTATAATGTGCAAGATTAAATATTGATATTTTTTTTTCTATTTTTGAATCTATCATACCCAGCAAAAAGGTTTTGGGTTCAAGTTTTACATCTTGTTTAGTTATATTTAGAATCCAATTTTTAATATTTCTCCAAAACTTCTGGGCATATATGGACATGTCCACCACAGATGAAAGTATGTTCCCTGGACGCAGTTACACTTCCAACAATTTGGGGGGAGGTTCGGAAACATCTTAGCTAGTCTCGCAGGTGACAAGTGCCAACAATGCACCATTTTATAGAAATTCTCTTTGCACGAGGCTGACATAGTTAGTTTGTAATTTATTTCCCAAATGTGTTCCCACTTGTCTAATTCAATACTATGGCCCACATTTTTTGCCCAAATTATCATACATTCCTTGACTATTTCTTCTTTTAATTTGTAATCCAAAAGATATTTATATATTTTACTAATCAATTTCCTTTCCTCTTCACGCCAAATCTTATCTAATTCATGGTAGGTCATATTAAAACCAAATTGTTCTTTATCTTTTTTTCCTTTTGAGAGCGGGCATTGGATTTCATTTTAATGTGTGCCATTGTGTATGCTGAAAAATGACAATAAAAGTTGTCTTATCTAACTAAGGTGTCAGGCTAAAAACTAGGAGACTGTGAGTTCTAATCCTGCCTTAGGCACAAAGCCAGCTGGGTGACCTTTGGCAAGTCAATTTCTCTCATAGGAAAGAGACAATGGCAAACTACGTCTGAAAAACCTTGCTAAGAAAACTTCAAGGACTTGTCCAGGCAGTCTCCAAGAACTGGATATGACTGAATGGAAAAAAAAAAGTCTCACATTACCAACAGTAAAGTTTTCACTCAAAAGAAAACAACAGCTGGATTTACACTTCACTTTAAGCCATAGTTTGTTCAAAGCAAGATCTGTTGACTAAGAACAGTTGACTAGGTTCAAATATAGCACTAAGTTATAAGCCATGATATAGGGAGACAAATGGCTAGGTTGACACAAGAGTCTACGTCAAGAACATCCAAACCGTAGAGCAGCCTAGAGAATGTGCAGACCCAAACCAGGATGTCTCAGGCAAGAATTACTGGACTAGGAGTGCTTACCTGACAAGTTTTCCAGTACCATTTTTAACAGTGCCACCAATAATCAGTTCTTCTTGCCAATGCATGTATTTTTTTGACAGCCCATAGCATCCACCGCTTAAAGCAAGGGCGACATCAAGAGGCTGAAAATATTTTTTTTAAAAAGAAAGAAAGAAAAAAGAAAAAAAAAGGTGTTGCAGAATCAAAGACAGGAAAGTTCACATTTTTGGAGAATCACTGATACCACTTTGGCTACCCCTGAAGGTAAGTGTTTTAATATGCATAAATCCTGCAAATCCTGCTCTGGTTGTAAATGCAGAATACGGGTGGGGACAGAATAAGAATGCTCTTTAGTATTTTCATGCTACCAGGATTGATTCTGGCAGATGTAGCTTTGGCTTTTCTCTCAGGTTGGTAGCTGTACATTTTTATCTTTTTCCGGGTTGTTTCACCTCTAAGTAGAAAGAAATAGCTGCCTTAGGGAATAGATTTTGGTTGTCACGAAAAGCTAGCGAAGGCTGATTTAGTCTGCTCTTGTACTTTTATTGCTAAGGATGCAGCATTTGAGGGATTGTCTGATTCATGTGGTAAAACAACATGATTATTTGGGGTAACTGCAGTCTGTATGAAAAGAAGCCATTAATTTTTCTAACTTGAGCAGCAAATAAACTTCAGCTGCCCTGAGTTGTCCCTAGAAAACGTATTAAGCAACAACAGCAACATTAATAAATGCAGAAAATTAAGAGAGAAAAAAGGAAACTTCACTCCACCAACATAATAAAATCTTTAGAGAAGTCATTCATATCCTCATATACTTCCTCTCTACCACTAAAGGAGCTCCAAACTATGAACATTTTGAATTTTTTTATTTTGCTTTGACTATAAGATAAGTAATCTTTAAAAATAAGTATAGCATAGTCCATTAAATATTTGAAGGAACAAAAAAGACCTGTACTTCAATTTGAGTGTCTAATTTCTCGTAATAGAAATCTAGATGGTTCAGATAAATCTAGATAAATATTTATTTGTTTTATTAAGAAAACATAGGCTATTTGTCTTATATACCATAATTCTGGGTGGCTAACAGCAACAATAATAGATTCATCTCAAAAACAATTTTAGAAAACAAGTTTAAAAATAAACATTGCTTGGTATCCTAAAGCAACACCCCTAAATACTTTAGCCTCTCTCAATCTCAATGTTTGGTGGAATTTTAAATGCTAGAATAAAGTTCTTTAGATGACCTCGGATAAAATGCTAATATACCAATTTCAGATATTAGTATTTGTATCCTGAAATTAAAAAAAAGATATTCTTTTGGAAAATTATAAAGTTAACTACAAAATTTCCCATTCTTTGATACTACAGCATTTGTATATAGAACCTGATTGGTAGCAAATCTAACTACATTAATATTCCAATATTGCTTTCTCTGTAGTACAAAATTTAAAATATAATACTATATTGAAATTCATTTCAAAGCTATTGGTTGTTCTTAAGTCCTTGAAGCTTGTTTGTTAAATTAGGAATAAGTAGGTATCTTGGTCTGGAGCTCCTGCTAAGTAAGCCATACAAATGGTCATGCTTTCCTTATCATTGCCTTATTTTCTTCTGTTAGAACAATTCAAGTCGGTGTGACCAACCATCATTTTACCAACCCTGAATTTAAGGCTGTATCTTGCATCTTGCTATGCTGAAACTGCATCATATTCTTGACAATGATTTTAGAATATGGTATTAGAATCTGCTTTTTCAATACATTTTTTCTCATTTGGCCGAAAAAAAAGAAGGATTAACTTACTTTAGTTGAATTTTTGTTGGGGGCAGTTATAGGACAATCAGGATCATCAGGGTTTAGGCAAGGTCGATCCATATAACCATGGCCAACTTCAGCCTTATTCAGCATCTCCTCCCAGGTATCTACTTGGGAATTTATCTTCTTCAGCTCTTCTAAGAATTCTAAGGGGTCAAAGTTGGTCCACTGCAAATGGGGTTTTCCTCTGTCCCATGAAGAGAAAAATGAAAAGGTTACCAAGAGTTGCCAGACCTTTGTAAATATTTATTGATTACTTCCCTTACTCCTACTTACATTCATATTTTTTTGAAATGAAGTTTACTGAAATGGGCACTTAAAACATTGCCACAAGATTTGTCTTTTGGAAAAAGTTGCTGAAAATTTTTATCTTAAAGCTGTTTTTCACCCACAAAAATTCTTCTTCACATGAGGATCGTGCCTAAGTAAATGCTAGTAAACAGAACTTCTTGAATCAATGGTTTCAGGGGATTTTAGATGTTGTAGTTAAAAGTCTTTATTCTTAATTCAACTATTACATTTCACCCCTATTTATCATTTACTGAACTGATAATCAAATGAGCAAGAAAATTAGTACTTGAACTAGTATTTGAAGAATAGTTAAATTTTAGATGAATAATTTATTAACTAAATGACTCAGAAAAAATAAGGAATTCAGCAGTCACAAATAAAGGAAATATTCAAGTATCAGAGAGAAGTTCATATGATATTAAGAGCTGTCTTTCTTTAAAATATTTGCCATACATTAATCAAAAACACATAAAAAATTAAAACAACTTTCAGACATGGTAACCTTTAAAAAAAACTGTGCCTCTGCTGCTATTTTTTTTTTCATTTCCACTTTTGATTTTGTGATGTTGCCAGACCATAAAGGCTTTTGCCTGACTTTTTTCTGTTCAGACTACTGTATCTGCTTAACCAGGCTTAAGATATTATTCAGACTCTCCCAACCAGAAAACACAAGCTCCTTCATTGTCCGATTTTAAAAAGTCCACACTGAAAGTTAAGCAATAGCCATTGCATGTTGCCTTTACAAAGGCAGACAAATAAAGACAAAGGCTACACCATATAAATAAGCTATGCAATTAACCTAAATGAATGTAAACATTTTAAAATATAGAACATGTTGAAAGTAACAATATCCAAAAGAGAGATTTCATGCCACTATAAGGCCTGACAAAGAAAGCATAGCTTCTGCTCAAGTTCTCTATTACAGTATTAATTGAAACAAACAACTTCCATATTTTTATTTTAAACCTATTGTTAGTCTACCTGCAGCCATCATATTTTTCATTGTACATTTTATTTCCTCCAAAACAATCACAAATACCATTGTAAAACAGTAAGAATGTTGCCTTTGGGAAAGGAAAAAACTCTGAAGTTATTTGGGACCCTTGCCCTTTTTCTGATAATCATGTTGACAGTATAGTACAAACATTAAAAAAAACTTAAATAGTCAAATTACTGGTTCTTTTTGTGGACCCAAGATTCTGCCCCAAATTTGGTGACAAAACAATGACTAGCCAATAGGATTTCTGCTCCAGTTTTAAGTGATAAAATAAAAATGTTCTGAGAAGATTGATATTCCAATTTCTCTTAAATAAAAGTATTGAAGCCAGATTTTTTTTTAAAAAAAGTCAGTAATTCCATCCAATCCCTTGAAAAGGTCACAGCAATCATTACAGATTCCCCCACAGCTTAAAGCAGGAGTTTCCAACCTTGACAACTTTGAGACCGGTGGACTTCAACTCACAGATTTCTTCCAATTCTTGGAATTCAGCTATGAATTGCATGTACCACTACTATGTCACAATACATTTATGATATATTTAAATGTAATCATGGCCTCTGCAGGATCTTTGCATTCAGGGTTGTCAAACTCAAGGCCCATGGGCTGGATCCGGCATGCGGGATGCTTAAAACTGGCCCATGGGGCCAGTCTGAAAATAGTGAAGGACCAGCCTGCGGTGCCTCTGGAAGCCAAAACAGGGCATTGGTGGGCCACACGTGGACCCCCCGTGCCCCGTTTTGGCCGGTAGGGTGCTGCAGGAGGCCATCCAGGCTGAAAATGGGGGCAGGGGCCCTCAAGCGCCTTCCTGTGCCCCCTTTTGGCCAGCAGGGTACTGCAGGAGGTGTCCATCTCACCCACCCACTGTCCTGGTCGGCCCGCAGAGAACTACAATGCTGATCCAACCAACGAATAAATCCAGTTTGACACCCGTGCTATAGATCATTTCCATCACAGAGGGATCAAATTATAGCAAATGTCTCTTCTGTCATTAATAGAAGCATTCTAAAATATGATGGAAGTTGCCAGAAAACACAGTGATTGATTTAGGAGTTCTCTTGTAATAAGCCAAACCTTTTATTTTTGTTCTTTATTTAGTTAATGTTTTTTTTTAAACTATTGTATGTGAAAATCATAAGCAGATCATATACCAAACTTGGACATCCTTATCATATACACTTCAACTCATGAAAAACTGAGAACCTGTTATTGTAATCTCTAAGATCTATGTAAACTCCCATGACTGAGTTAACTAAAAGTCCTCAACACCCCTTAAAACACATTGTTTAAATGGTTTGTTTTACTCTCAATGAAAGTTGATACTGAGATGATCATGTCAGTATCAACTCTAATTACAATCTAGTTCAGATACAGGACTGAAACCCAGGATAGCCAAGGACCAGAGATGGTGTAGGAAAAAGTGTCAAAAAATCAAGCTGGTAACTGCAGCAGTGTGATCAATGTCCCTGTCCTTTTACATGTATTGTGACCTGCATGAAAAATGTGATACAACTTCAATCATATGATTGTGAATGGCATCTTGATTTTTTTTTTAACCCAATTTCATGTCCCTACCTCAGTCCAAATTAAATCACCGACAGTGATAGAATTCACTGAGAATAAAACTGAAGTAACTTAGTTTGTCTCGCATCTGTTGTTCATGTTGATCCCGATGAAACCATCAGGTTATTCCTACAAATAAAATCATATATGGGGCACCTGCGAAGAAGCAACATCTGTGTGATGATACACTTTGAAGGGAAGCTAAAAATAAAAAGCCATCATATCATCCTACAGGAAATTGCTGCACCTATACTTGCAAGCGTGCTGGTTCAGATGTCAATTTTTGCATTCCAAACAGATAAAATAATTCGATGGGATGTTAATTTTGTAATTAAACATCTCTTTTAAAGAGAAACACACACTAAATAGATATCTGTATGCATATTTGTCTGGAAGGTCTCATTTTGTGTTCAGTCCAACATCAGAATAAATTCTAGCTAAGTGACGCCCCATCAAACTGGTAAAAAAAAGCTAGAAATCAATACACAGTAGATATGCATGGTAGCAGGGGTGGGATTCTACCAGTTTGCACCTATTCTCTAGAACCGGTTGTTAACATTCTAAGCAGTTCGGAGAACCGGTTGTTGGAAGAAATTACTGCCCTAATCCTGTAAGGAAGGCAGGAAGGAAACATTCTGGTGTTGCTTACAGAAACTGCCTCTCCGTTAACCCTGATTATATTCTTGGCAGGACAAGACTTCCTGTCTCTGGAACTTCTCTGGAGTTTTTCCCCCCATTTTTGCTGGTTCTTTGCTTGTGTGGAGTGACCATTCAAAGTTACAATGGCACTGAAAAAAGTGACTTATGACCATTTTTCACACTTATGACTGTTGCAGCATCCTCAAAGTCATGAGAGGCCAGGCGAGGAGATGCGTGCCTCGATGTGAATGACATTGAGTTGGCCACATCCAGCCAATAACATGACCACCAAGCCATGTCCACCCAGTCAGATGACCACCGAGCCACGCCCACCACCTGAGCCATGCCCACAGAACAGGTTATTAAAAAATTTAAATCCCACCCCTGCATGGTAGATATTACTCACGGTAGATATGCAGTCCCAGACTGTAGCTTTGCACCCTCCCAGAAGCAGTCCAGTGGTGTGATAATTAAACAAGGGTAAAGGTGTTCTATAATCTGTAAAAGAGACAGAAGAAAACCCCTCCGAATATTGTTATAAGTCTACAGAAATATACATAAAAATGTATGAGGGCCAATTTGGTCTAGTGCTTAAGGCACCTAGCTAGAAAGCAGGAGACCGTGAGTTCAAATCCTGTCTTAGTCATGAAAGGCAACTGGGTGACTTGATCATTCTCTCTCAGCCCAACTCACCTCACAGGATTATTGTGTATAAAATATAAGGAGGAAGGTGTGTTGGATATGTTCACTGTCTTGAGTTATTTGTAAAAATAATAAAGGCAGAATACAATATAATATAATAGTCTTTACCTTGTCCATGTAACCTGTTTCTGTGATGGGTTCTCCTGATTTGTGACATAAGTGTTCCAATTTCCATTGTCTGCAAAAATGAATAGCAAAATTACATTAACAAATGGTTGTAAGTTGAGAACTACCTTCATTTTCAAAGTTTCTTTTTTGCTTCTCTTAGGACATGCTGTCATTTGAATTAAATTAGTTCACCTGTGTGGGTATAATCTCCTTATGACAGCAATAATAGTTAGGTTTAGGTGGCCTTTTAGCCTCTAGTTTGGAGGATACTTCATGATTGTAACCATGCAATTCATATTTCTCAGAAACCACCAGGCAAGATTAATGGAAATTAAATTTGCAATATTGTAGGTCAGCCTTTCCCAAACTGTATGCTCCAGATGTAAGCTACATCTCATGTCTGCTAAAGAGCATAGAACTCTGGCACATCTGGAGGGTATTAGGCTGCAGAAGGATACTGTAGAGAAAATGCCCATTCTCTTTACCACTTGGTGAATGCAAAGGAATCCCTGCTGCGTTGAATCCTTCCAGTATGTCAGAGAAAATTTATGCTGAGCGTTTATCTACATTGGATCAAAAACAGTTCTGAACTTTGCAAAACAAACTCACTGTACGATTCCTTCAAAATAAGCTGAAATTTGTGCTTTAATACTAGATTAAACCATTGTTTAATATTACTGACTCCCACAACAGGGACCTGTTTATACTAGATATGTCAGCAACCCAACACAGTCCGAAGTTATACTTTGAATATGTTTTATGTCAAAAAGAAAAGATTATTTTTTTAACTTAATAGCTGAAGCACAATGGTTTCAGACATTGTAAACTATGATGAACATCTAGAGATGTGGCTAAATCAAGATTTCCCCCAACTCCCACTTGCCAAAAGAAACAGGGTCAGAGGCAGTTGGGCTCAACAAAATCAAGATGGTAGCTGAAACCATCTGAAAGCTGCCATGCTGACATTTTTTAACTGCCCCTGAATTGAAAAATGAAGCCTGAAACAGGCAAACACTACACATAGTCCTTGACTTACAACAGTTTGTTTAGTGACTACCCAAAGTTACAACAGCACTGAAAAAAGTAACATGACTGTTTTCCACATTTCCAAATGTCGCAGCATCCCCATGGTAATGTGATCAAAATTCAGATACTCGGCAATTGACTCATATTTATGATGATTGCAGTGTCCCAGGGTCACATAATCACCTTTTGTGACGTTTTTGCAAGCAAAGTCAATGGGAAGGCCAGATCCACTTAACAGACGTATTACTAACTTAACAACTGCAGTAATTCACTTAACAACTGTAGCAAGAAAGGTCATAAAGTGGGACAAAAGTCACTTAACAATGTCTCACTCATCTGGCTTCATCCAAAGTAGCCCTCTAGGAAAACTAATAACTTTGCAAATGTTGAAAAGCAAATGTTCAAGGAAGCTCTCTTCCTACAATAAAATAAACTTCTAGGGAGCTTCTGAATTTCTTCTGAATGAGTTCTGATTAGTATGTTACTGCAGAAAATGATCAGGTTGGAACACATGATTCCCACAATTGCTCTGAGATTTGAAGCAAGAAGAGAGCTTTTTTCCCCCATCTTACCTGTTGTACATATATACATGTATCTTGCTGGCTTGTAGTGTAGAATCAAGGTGCTGTCTGAGTGCTTCTGTTGTTAGTACATTAGCAGTCTCTTCTTGTGGTGTTTGAATCATCAGTTGAGGATTAAACATGGCCTCTTCTCCAATCTTCTGCCGTGTGTAACTTAACTCCAGACTTACTCGCCCACCAACTGACAGACAAATATTTACAACCTGGGATTAGCCAGCAAGAATTGACTCTTTATACACATTCAAAAAGCCCACAGGCTCCCCAATAAATTCTTCCATATGCATGGAATATTCTATAGTTTATTCAGAGCTGAAGCAAATTTAAGAGAGCTAATTTTGTGTACAGTGCAGAAAAAGCCACATACATTTTCCTTAAAAAAAAAAAAGTTTCCATACTGCAAAGGCAAGTCACAAGTCCATTTTTGCTAAACACATGCATTTTCAGTATCATATCAAAAATTCTGCATGTTCAAATTTGTTTTAAAAATTCCTTTTTCCTTTCAGACCAGACCAAATATTTCTATGTTATAATTTCTTACACTTGTATAAACAGTCTGCTGCAATGGCATATTTCAAGATAAATAGCTTCAATTTACACTCTTCTCCTAAATAATTTGGCAAAAGCAGAAAGGAAATAAAAGCAGCTAGGAGGAAAAGAGTAAATGAACATTAGTATATCTTGCTGCTGCTAGTTAAAATATAAAAATACTGTTAAGTGCAGGTCACTTAACTGTGAAGGTCACTTAACAGTGCAGATTCAGAAGAGAGCCAACATACATTTAGTAAACTATAGGGAGAGTCTAGCATTTCCATAGTGAACTTTGGTGTATCAGAATATGGATGTCCTGACAAATTAAATGGCAATAAGCTTGGGAAAGCAGTTTCCCAACCTGGATGCCTTCCAAATGTTAAATGGACTTTAATACCCAGAATTCTCACCAATGGCCATACCTTGAGGCTTCACAATCGTCAAGATCATTGTCAAAGTAACCTTTCAGTACTTGAAGACATATAAATATTAGGTCCTATCTTTCACATTTTTCTAAACATGTAGGGACTTTCAGGTTGTCCTTGATTTATGATTGTTCATTTAATGATGGTTCAAAGTTACAACAGCCTGGGAAAAAGTGGCCTATGACTGTTGCACCAATCCTGCGATCATGTCATGACAAGACACAATTTCAGCATCCCGCAGTCACATGATTGTGATTTGTAACCTTCCCAGTCAGTTTCTGACAAACGAAGTCAATTGGAGAAACTGGATTCACTTAACGGCTGTGTGATTCACTTAACAATAGCAGTAAAAAAGGTCGTAAAATCAGGTCTGGTCACTTAATGACTCACTTAATGACCACATCACTTAGTGACCAAAATTCCAGTCTCAATTGTTGTGGTAAATCAATGACTACCTGCACTTCATCTGTTACAGTCTTCATTAAGCCTGTGTTTTTCACAGATGTGTTCAAATTGACAGAACACTAATTATTTCAACAGCATTTTTAACCATGAATGTTTATCCTTTAAATACTGCTGTATAATATTTTAAGTTGGAGCTAAACTGCATTTGGTTTTGCATACTGTCTCCTTTTTTAATGTATTTGCTGATCAAATGTGGGAGTGATGAGCCCCAGTGGAGCAGTGGCTAGAATGCAATATTGCAGGCAAACTCTGCCCACAACTAGAAATTTGATTCTGACCAGCTGAAGGCCTTCCATCCTTCCAAGGTACAGATTGCTAAGGGCAATATACTGACATTGTAAACTGCCCAGAGGGATGCTGTAAAGCACTATCGGGGTGGTATATAAGTCTAAGTGCTATTGCTAATGTTATAGTGTTTGATAGGATTCTCAGCACTATATCCTTACAATGCATTTAGAGCACATGCATCTAACATGTGTACAAACAAATAAGCACAATCTCCTAAAGAAACATGGAATCACCCTTGGGCTCATGAGGAATCAATTTACATGTGTTATCTGTTTCAACTTGTTTCCTGATATACTAATGAGGCCCTCAGCCCAATCAATTCTCTTCCTCTTATCTATTTCAGTATTTCATTTTTCCCTTTTTTTCTGGGTGACCACAGTTTTGGTACACCATGTAGAATTCTAACTAATTTCAGAGTCTACATACAAGATTAGGCAGAAAAACACAGCAGCACATCTGCCTTAGAGTGGAGCTGGTGAACTGTACCTCCTTTTTTTGACATAGATAAGAGGGGAACAGAAAGACAAAGGAAAAATGATTGTGAGCACCGTGACCATGGCCAAAAAAAGTTAATATGTGAAAAAGTAGCTTTTTAGGTTATTTCCAAGGAACAAGATAAAAATGTAGAATGGTGAACAATTGCAGAATCACAGTAATCTCCATTTTAAAAAAAGAATAAAATCAATGGCAATAATAAGAATTAGGAACTGCAGTGCAATGAATTGTAAACGTATTTTTTCCAACAACTGCAATTTTTGCCTCTAAATACTTGGGTTCATGTTTTAGACACAACAAATAAAAATATGAATTATTCACTCTTCTCATTTGTAATTGCAACTAATTATTTTGATATTTGGTAATATTCAGTGAAATTATTGTTAAACTATAATCCTGTAAAAGCGATTATTGAATTTCAAGCAAACATACAAGTTCATGACTGCTTTGAATGAAAACAATATTTCACATTACAAAGAAACTGTGTCATAGTTAAATGAAATGTGTAAATGTGTCATTTCATTTATTAAGACAGAATGCAAAATTTGTGTGTATGCAAATCCATCAAAATATTGCAGAAGTGTTAAGTTTGATTTTAAACTCCATTTCAAAAAATCGGACTTCCCAACAAATCCTTTCTGCTTTCAGTAAATCATGTCCAATTTTATTTTACAATGTGCAGAATAAACAATCTGTAGATTCGAATGATACTTATTACTATCTTGTTTGTAAAATACATGCTTTGTCATCCATATTCAAGTTCATACACTGATTTATTTCTAGACTCATCAGAATTTCTTATTTCAATTAACAGGACCAACTGTTTAATATCAATGGACATGATTGCCCCAGACTCAAGATGCTGTCAAACTCTATTAATCTCACTTAACAAGGAAAATTCAACCAATCAGCATTATAACAGCAAGAAAAGTGAACTTTTCCAACCTTACATCAAGTCATAGAGAAAATAATAATAAATCAACAGATGGTTTTATAAATCTAAGAAAATTATGTTGACAGCAGATCTTTTAATACTGGTCAGTTATGAAGGAAAATAATTGTGGCAACTTATTTTGAGACATATTAACAGCTTTAATGCATTTTAAAAATAGTATATTCAGATAGCAGTTACAAAATAATATTTCATATATTGGTAAGAGAAGAAGTGGAGAAAAGAAGCAGATGAAAAATTTCAAATTATTCAACAAATCTTTTTTACTGACAGATGATTCCACAGGTATCATCTCAAAAATTCAAGCATGTCCCAAACCTTATCATTAAGAAGCAAAAATGTCACAATCTTAATACTACTTTTGCAAACGTCTTATTCATGTACCAAACTAACATCATAACTTTGTCCAGGACACCACAATTGGTAGAGAAGAAAGGACCAGATTAATACTTTAAAAATAATTGCAGATTACAAGGAATAGCTGATGCGCCAATCAGTTGTTTGCAACTAGCAGAGTGGTGACAGCGATAGAGTGGCAGTGTTAGTGAGGCTTAGAGATGTTCTTCAGTGTGTCTTTGGGGATGGAAGTGACGTAAAAATCAAGGTGACAATGGCAGATCTTACCTAGTGATGGCATTGATTGGGGGCAGTGAAATGATTATTTTTCTAAAACACAGGTAGCTTGTGTGCTATATGTTATGCAGGCCTGCCTCAGTACTAAGAGAATGTCAAAATGGTTTCTGAAAATGAAAGGAACTAATCTCTAGACTAATTTCTAATTCTACACATTTTTTTAAATTTATGATATTTAGAAACTGCCCATCTCTGTTTCAGAACAACCCATATATAGCTTACTACTATAGATTATTAGTCTGTCTGGATATAACATAACAATGTGTTTTCCTGTCTCAAATTATCATGGCAAATTAATTCTTTGAATCAAAAATTGCAACTATACTCCATGTTATATCGAATACAAAATAATGCCATAAAATGGCATGAAAGCCTATGCACTATGTTAAAATCATTTACTATATGTAATCTTCTGTGTAGAACATGCAAAAAAGATCACCCTAAAATTATCTTCTGACCTTCCATTTCTTTCCTTTTTCTTCAACAGTCAAATGTGACAAGCATGAGTCTTAAAAAGTCTCACATATTATACAATGTCCATCTTCCAAATATTTTTGAGCATAATTTCAGCCAGCACCATACTGCAACACATCTTATGGGAGATGTGCCTATCTAGATCTCAGGTTTGGTATCAGTGGCAAGCCTAGGTTAGGGGAGGTTGCCTAGCAATTGTAGCCAAGAGATTCTGATGGTGCCAGGGGGCACTGTTTTTTCGGTTAACAATACATTAAGCTTCACTGGGGAAATTGACTTCTAGAAATTAAGTTGGAGCTACACCACTGTTGTATTGCCTTTCCTACAGCATGGGAGTTGTTTAAACTCATTGCAAGCAGTGGATTTTCCTACAGTTTCCCTAGGGAATTTCTACCAGTTTTCTTTGCCACAGGAACCATTGTTCTAGACCAGAGATGTCAAGCTCAAGGCTCACAGGCTGGATCTGGCCCACGGGGTGGTTAAATCCAGCCCACGGGGGCAGCCTGGAAATATCAAGGGACCAGCCCCAGTGCCTCTGGTGGCTAAAACGGGCCACATGCACCTTGTTTTCACCCTCCATAGCCTCCTGCAGCACTCTGCCAGCTGAAACTGGGCTCAAAACAGGCCTAAAACTGGGCCCAAAATGGGCCAAAAAATGGGCCCAAAACAGCCCCAAGATGGCCCAGGAGGCCACAGGAGGTCATGGAAGGCAAAAATGAGGCACAGGGGGGCCATGTGCAGACCCCCCACACCCCATTTTGGCTGGCAGGGTGCTGCAGGAGACATCTGTCCCACTCTCCTCAGTTGACCGCCCACAGAGGAGAACTACAATGCTGATTGGCCCCTGAAGAAGTCCAGTTTGACACCCCTGTTCTAGACCATTCAGAGCTTAACTTATGTAGGAAAGAACATACTAGATCA